TGTGGAGCAGTGGAACATGTGAGACGATCAAGGGCTTTTGAGATTCGAAAAATATGGCAGCCGGTATGAGTCCCACGTCCTGGGTTTGGGCTGGGTTGTCCATACATAGGAGCATGTTTGTCAAGCAGGAACGGTTCGGGAAAAATCCGTGTTGGACTGGATATATCATGTTTTTGAAAGTAAAATTATCTAGGATGGTGCGCTTCAGGATGCATTCCATCGCCTTACAATGCGTGCTAGTGAGACTGATAGGCCTATAGCTGCCGAGCGACAGTCGGTCACCGGTTACGTAGAATGGCGCGGCAGTATCCTCATTTCAAGCAGAGCAAAGGTTGCCTTCGTTAAGCGACTGGAAGGCACCAGGTAGTAACGCTTTTGCCGGAAACTTTGGATTGACCTCGTCTTGCTTCAACGCTCAACTTGTCAAAATCATACTACGAACGGCCTCTAAACGACTTATTCTTATCAGAGGAGAACATTTGTGAGCTCGTGCACAAGACAAATCCGTTCTACGCGTTGGAAGGTAGCTGGTGTGCCATTGAGAAATTTGAGAAATTTACGTCGACCGGGTGATTTCATCCTGAATGTGGCAGTCGTGGCGGTGTTTTTGCGAGCTCCTAAAGTTGTCCCTGCAGCATTCTTTGTGACCCCTTAGACTGCACCTACTGCACCTGCGGTTCCGCTTAAGGCAGTGGCGTGAATAGTGCCACTCTCAACAAATCCAACAGGCTGTAGGCGGTTTTCTTGGAGTTCGTCTTGAATTTGACTTACTTTTGAAAGTTGCTTTGCATACCATATCGGGCTGAGGGATTTTGGAATGTCCAATCATTACAGCACCAGCCTTGAGATTGATAAGATGCTGGCACTCGGCGATAAGTTTCTGAAGGGTCAAAGTTGGAACCTGTTCAGTTCGATTCAGTAGCCGGGTCCTGATATTTGTATCGTGTGGCGATTGAATACCAGCCACGGAGAGGAGGCACTTGAATTGATCCTCGGTCATGAAGCTGAGCTGAACGCGCTCATTTTCTCTGTTGACCACACCGGCATAGGTGATGAAGTTCTCAGTATCCCTTTTGGTAATCTTGAGAAAATGTTAACGGATATTGAACAAGGAGCTTTGCTTACGAAATATTTGGGCCAGGATTTTGACAGTATATGCGAAACCAAGGTCACGAGGGAGTTTGGGGAGTATGAAAGTTGTGAACCGATCGTGTTAAGCTCTACCCAGTTTCCGCTGCAACAGTCGAAATTTTCATGCACCATCAAACTAAACAAAGTCGGTTGGAAACATGTCTTCATTTTTCTTGAACCGACTTTCGAAAGTACAACTCTTAATCGGTCCCTTGGCTTCTTGCTCCACCCACTATGGTATATTAAAAGGCACGGTAGCTCTACGCAGCCCTTTATGGAGACGAAGGAAAATTATTACAACTGTATCTATAGGGTAGCCACAGAGTGTTCCACAAGGTCGTGCCACACACTCCCGGTAAAGTAACTTATTGGGTAGTCGGACCACTACACTGTGAGGGGGTGAAAAGTGTCGAGTCGAGGATACTCGACTCCGATTGGCTGGCATTCTGACCAATCGGGGTATACCTTCGTTTGGTCCGTGTCCTACACGTGACACATCCGTGTAAATGATGTGATGTTCGGTTATTAGGGACGACTGGCCATCCGATCTATTCGTTTGCAGATTGGTTAAAGAGAATCTCAAATAACTAAGGAGAACCCGTGGTAGTGCCAATTTTCAACAAAGGGGCCCGGCTGAGGCTATTACCACAACCTCGGAAACAATTTGTCGTTAGTTCATCACATACAAATTGGACCTGCACGATAAATACCTCGTTTTCGACTGTATAGTTATACACAGTCGCTGAGTGGCGCTTTAGGTATCACTGACTTGTGTCAACAGCACTCCTATCACATCCATGTAGAGACCGTGTAATTTGGTGGGCGTTATATTTAAAAAAGTGTTAACCCTTACGCAAAGACGGAGAGCGACTGGAACAAACACTTAAAGACGCTTTTAAGGTGCATATAAACCAAGTTAAGCTTCTATTTATTATCAAGGTTCTACGGAGCCTTTCATGAACTCATAGCTCACAAAAATGAAAAATCGAAAAGTTGTGATAATAGTGATATTCAAGGGGTCCGTCACAAATGCGGATCAGATCAACCCAGGTCGTAACGATACTGTTGACATCACTTATCTTTCGTTGCCTTATTACATTATGTGAACTTATGACTCGAGGGAAGCAAGCGGGATTCTGGTTTGGTTGGTGCTAGAACCACGCAATATGTACAAATGACCCACAACCTTAGTGTTTCTGGCTTTTCAAGGCGTGTTCGAATAAGTTGACGATTCCGTTCTCCTTAGCACACTTGCGCACCCAGGTTTTGAACATTATAAGCTCTGTATTCCCATACGTCTGGGCATTTGGGAATGTACTGGAGCCTTCCGGAAGCTTCTGTATCCAAACTGGTGATCTTCAGGGGTACCCACTGCTTCCATTCCTATTTAATTTGGTGCTGGGCGAGATAGTGACACGAACACTACAACGTCCAAATAGCTACTGGTGGAACCTTGTCGATCTTTCATATTCAGACGAGGTCGTTCTCGTCTTCAAAGGTGCAAGGTTAATTACCAAGTCTACTCCAACAGCAATCAGAGTCATACGTGCCGCACATGTACGGTCGCATTCATGATGTCATGGTCACTTGGGCATCCTTATTTTCGGCCGAAATCTGACAAATACAGGCTTTTCGAAAGGTTGGTTTACCGTCTGGATAATATGGAGTATTAGGACAAACACGGATCCCGGAATTTTCTCCCTCAATGTTATCACCGAGCAAGGTGTGATTTGGTTGCCTTCGGATAGCTAGCCCAGCGTGATCCCGGACACGAACTATTGGGCTGCTGGTCACGACGACTTACGAATATGTTGTTTGCTCATGAATGAAGAATTTGGAGGCTACGAACGTCTAGGGTTGTTATTCTCTTGGAGGTCACTGCCCACTGTTTTCTTCTGGGTCATAAACCGTGCTCCGAAGTGCATTGGTTCGAGTAACTACAGCTTCGTTCACCGTGGATAAGGAAAGTAAAGGAAGACGGTCCAATCAGTTCGTTGACGTCAGATGGTTCTGTTCGCCCGTTTATGACCCACTAAGCAGGGCAGCTTCGACACCTTTTAAGACTGGATATGTTGCCAGTGACAGGGTACTGCCAGGTTGCCCAATCCTAGAAAGTAGTCGAGATATGGAGGTCGGGTTCGAACCACGTACCTTCCAGTTAGTAAATTCGCGCTCTAATCACTGAGCCACCTCGTCCCCTTGCCATCTCAAAGAGTGCAATGTAGACAGTCGTGAATCGATTCCATAACTCGAGTACACCTACTGATTCTAATAAGAAATGACCAGTTTCGGGTTCTTTACGTATTACTGACCGGAGCACCGATTGCTCTTAAGAAAGAGTGCAAGCCAACATGAAAAAAGTTCAACTGTAGCACTTAACCGCCTAACTGCCATGGCACCCGAAGGTTGGACGAGGTCTGAGATACTGCCACGTTGCCCAAGCCTAGACAGGGGAGGTCAAGAGACAGAGGTCGGATTCTAATCACGTACCTTCCGCTCAGTAAATTCGCGTTCTAACCACTTGGGCCGGGGCAACATGGGTTTATAATGTACGAACTTTCACATTCTTGTCCAACTACAACAAAAAAGAAGTTTACTATCTGGTGTCGAGGGTTCGGAAAATACGTTCCGATGTTGCTCTTGTACGTGAATTGGATGTATTAGAAACATCCTTACGGAAAGTTGTTACAATGGTCGGTTTATCTCACATGATGTGCGGGACAGAACCGAAACAAAAGCAACCGAAACTGTCGGAACAAACAACTTCTCCTGATGTTTCCCTCTAACCGATGTGCAAACCTTCCGCTCAATTCGCGTTCTAACCACTTGGGCCGGGGCAACATGGGTTTATAATGTACGAACTTTCACATTCTTGTCCAACTACAACAAAAAAGAAGTTTACTATCTGGTGTCGAGGGTTCGGAAAATACGTTCCGATGTTGCTCTTGTACGTGAATTGGATGTATTAGAAACATCCTTACGGAAAGTTGTTACAATGGTCGGTTTATCTCACATGATGTGCGGGACAGAACCGAAACAAAAGCAACCGAAACTGTCGGAACAAACAACTTCTCCTGATGTTTCCCTCTAACCGATGTGCAAACCAGATGTCTCTCCCCAGTAATTAAAATCCCCCGGAAAACAAAAGCCAGCTGCGTGATTCGAGATTTTCCTAAATAGAAGAGAAAGCAGTCCATCACGCCTAGTCGACGCGGGACACACAAATCGTCACACTACATTTCGGGTCATGTACCACGTGCCACAAAACCGATCCAAAGGTCGCTCAGTCTCGCGATTGTCAGGGTCACTGCCACCGTCCACTCACACTCGGATTTTGTACAGAGAAATTTGTCTAGTCCTCCCACCCGATCTGGTCCAGCTTTTGCTTCTTACCTGATAATTACCGTGTATTCCAAGTAATCCAGACAGTTAGCAGTGTGTTAGGTGTCCTTTCTTTAACGAACAAGCAGATTTTCCTATCTTAAGTTCTGCCTTATTGTAATTGGATCACTTTATATTATCTACACGGCCAGAAGATCACTCAGTGGCGCCTTCTTATCGTTCTGTATCATAGTCCTATACAACTGTGAAGTTTGCGGGAGTATATGCTGCATATTTTTTGTCATTTCCTGCTAATTTTTAAGCACATTTTCCACTTTCTTCTTGCGCTTGTGATTCTCCCCTTGTTTTACAATATCCGCTGCCATATGATGCGGTGACCCTAACAACCGACGCACCGTCTGGCTCATGGTTGTCAAACTTAACTGAACTATATCGTACACTGAAGACGGCGGTGCTTTGGAGCTACCATTCAACGGTTGTCTGCTCCTTTCCGACGCTATTCTTTTGCTCCATTTCAGCTCTTTGGAAAACGATTCAAATCCAGTCTTTCACATCGCGCACTTTTCGCCCGTCCTCAGCGATGAACTTTCGGCTGCCTTCTTTTCATCATTAAATCCCTGAAGACAGTTGGATAAGTCATCACATCATCATGCTACCACAGTGGAGCAGGGGCTTGCGCGAGAACGTCCTTCGCATTCCCAGTACGCTCAAGGCTTGTTTCCCCAGTATTCAAAGGAGGGTGAACAATGTGGATCTTCGAGGGGCGTATATTATGTACGATAAATTCACTGGATTGGATCGAGTTCGTACTGCACATGAGGAAGTTATGCTGGTGTGTAATGTATTGATGTCCAAGTGTATTGAAAATGTTTGCAATAATCGGACTATACTATTTCACTCCTATGTTTAGGGTTGTGACTGAACTCGGACCTGCAGAGGCTTCAGCTGAGTATGATGCAGGGCGAGCAAAACGGTCAGTCCTAGAGCTGGACCCTGCCGATAAAGTAGTCAAATTTGGGCGGGGTAGGGTGGAAGACGGAAGACGGCCACCTTCCCCCCAATATAGCTCAATGGGTCGCCGAGGTACACAAACCGCCACACCACGATAAGGTCCAGTCTATTCGTGACGGACAGTGGAGCATCAGTACCAACACTGATGTTGCTGTCTTCGATGATGATGAATTCACTCCTATCACCTGAGAGGTGGGATTGAGCGCCGTTTAATCTAGTGCATTAACTCATTCGAAACCATCAAGCGATGTGACAAAGTTAGGTCCTTTACTGTAGTTCCCCTCGTTATTTGTGACTGATATGAGATTGGGACGCCAAAGTCAGTTCAGTGTATTTTGAATTTCAAATATCTGTGTATCTTCGAACTTTGGTGCCATGCGTCTTAAACCCGCCGACTTGTCCTAGGTACAGGCAGTCTGCAGCACAGACCTATTTCCTCGACGTTCGTCGATTGGTTGACGTGAAAGAACAACAAATATGAAAGGTTATGTAGTAATGGAATAGGAAAAATGGTTTAACGTAAACTTTGCACATTGGTTTTATTTGGACATTCGCATCAGCCTACTTTTTGTCTCGTAAGTTGAGCCAGGTTTGCGTAAACTGGTGTTCTATGACAACCAAGTCCTAGACCATCATCCATTCTATCATTTTGGTCCCGGAGTACCCATTCACAAACCTATCCTAGTCAGTATCAGTCGTTGTTACGTCCTTCAGTGCCTTTGCTCGGACCCACATTATGGCGCACCTTGGCCATTCCATTCATACCTACAGATTCTAATTGTAATTTGCGATTTGTTCGTCTCAGTTGTTCCGGTGAAATGGGATTCAGAGCTGGAGTAATACGGGCATGACGCACTTTCGTTGCACAACCCACAGATTATAATAGTGAGTTGAAATGCCCAGCTCGCGCGTTGCCATTGAACCGGTGAAACATTCTGGGCGTGAGCTTGTTCAGATATGGGGCCGATCGCCCACTAAACGGACCGTACGACCTATCCCTCCGTCCATGAGTTTTAGGGAAGAGAGCACCTGTATTCGGTACTCTGGCTAGTCTTCGTCGGAAACAGGTGGCTAGCTGGGCAACCACGTTCATGTCAACATTTTCATCGACGTGAACTCAATGGTGCGCTATCAAGCCAGCTTTCAATTCGCATCACTTGCCACAGTCCTCGCGAGTGTTGTGCATTGTCGAAGGTTACCAATACGTTGAAGCCGAATAGGGTGGTTAGCCCTGCGTGGGGTTGCTGAACACTTAGTTCACCCAGACTGAAGTCCGGACCCAGTCGGCATCACTATGAGGTAGTTCAGCGCGCCGATTCATTGGACTACTCTGCTACCAAGTACTACTACTACCCCTCGAATTTTGTCTGGAAACTCAGCTGCGTACCTTTTTGTACTCGTCTACGAGAGTGTGAAAATCTTCTGAATATAATTTATTATCAATTACTTCGAGTTGTTACTGCGCGACCCTTTTGCTTTTTCTCTGATATCCCAGGCAGAGAAGAATTTTATCGACCGACAGTTGGAACGGAGAGCATGCCAGACGGAATGCTTTCGACTGGAAGAAGCGCGAAATCGTCTAAACATACAGCTAGACAGTGTCAGCCGTAGTGACGAAAACTTTCTTACCCTTGTTACCCAACTGCATGAAGTGAGTTTCCAGTTCGTTTCCCAAACGGTGAAATAGGAACTGTAGGAGCTATTTATGGTGGTCCCATTCAGGACCGAAATGCTGGCATAGTACTCCCTCACAGAGACTTCTTCGAATAGACGTCACGCTTCTGGAGAGCACCCGATAGCATTCGCCGTCAACCATTAGCGCTCATTCCACTAACAAAGACCAACCTCAGAAGCTTATGAGATTACTGTATTTTATGCTAACTTAAGGCCTATTCACTATTTTCCCGTACGCTTCTCGCACATGTTGAACTTGAATATGCGACCCGTACTACGTTGGATAAATACGATGCTCTGCATATCACTGTGGACCCGCTTCTCCTTCGCTAAAACTTTCGTTTCTTACGCTCGTAATCGGGAAATTCTTTTTCGCGCTAAACAGGTTATGGTTTTCCGTTTTTTCTATGTAAACGCATCTAGTCGTCCCACTCACGTTGCTCATTTTCTAGACTGAGCAATAGCCAAAGTAACCAAGTGCGTCTTCACACTCCTGTAAGTAAAATAATAAATAAATAATCTTTTTGATGAACCTAGCTGCCAAGCCACGCAGAAAGAAGCACGACTGTTTGAATACTGTCAGTCGACGTACAGAGGTTGGGTTCGAACCACGGAACTTCCGGTCAGTAAGTTCGCACCTTAACCACTGAGCTGTCTAGAGCTTTTGTACTTACGCACCTTAACACTGAGCTGTCTAGAGCTTTTGTACTTAACAGAACCAATTCCACTTCGTTTATATAAGGAAGACGGTCATACGTAAGATGAAGATCAGTTTGTGTCGTTCATCGACGTGCGCAGAGATATGATCACATTAGGGAAGGGTTCGTGGCGGGAAGAACCGTTAGATAGAGTGGGTTTTTCTCCTTTTGATATGTTCAGACAGACAGTACTGGTTAATTAAAAATATACGAGATAGTACAGTACAGTTGGAAGGATCACCAATGAGGCGATTCCTCCGAAATTTATCCCGTCATTTTCACTATAAGCACGCTTGGAACACTTTCCTGCTGCCCACTCATGCCATACGCCAACCCGTCCACCGAGTGAACGACCTGAGCTAGGAATGTTCGCATTTCTAGGGACAGTTCCGGGGCTATTTCCCCCTCTTATTTTTACCAAACAGTGACACCTGCTTCGTTCTCTGAACCTTCAGTATCACGTTTGAAAACAAATTTGGCGAGTCATTCAAACTCACTGAATTACATTGGAGAGTTCCGGGGCTATTTTCCCCTCTTATTATTACCAAACAGTAACGCCTTCTGCTTCGTTCTCTGAACCTCCAGTATCACGTTTGAAAACAAATTCGGCGAGTCATTCAAACTCACTGAATTACATTGATTACTCCTGCACTGTTCGCCGAATATTTCAGTTACTATCCTGATTGACGGCGCTCGTTTGTTATGTTACTGTCCGAGGATCTTTCTGAGTTTAGATCTCTCGCAATGTTTGAACGTGGGGAATTGACGGTCTGCGCTTGTCCCTACATCATTTTGGGATGGATACGTGGTGGATACGTCGGTTGTTCTGGTATTTTCTAATCAGCCATGAAAGTGCCTCTCCAATGAGAGAGGCCCTTTGATAGATCATTACAACCTCTCCGCTACTAGTGTGAGATCCCACCGAATTGAGACTAATCTTTAGAACGGACAAGAAAGCCCTATCCCTTGCGGTGGCCCTCCTTTGAGAATTTAGTATACCAGCGTTGGAGAAACAAAATGCAACACTGAAATGTGATAAGTTTTAAAATTTGTTTTCTTCAGGAGAAAACCTCCAACCCGACTCAGAGGCATAGAGTGATGGGCCACATAAGTTGGACGGTGATATGTGAGAATTAAGTTTCGTACGTATATCGGTATAACCACACGAACTAGAAATCCAGAATTCAGCGAAGCGTAACAACCAGCACGTATGTATTCGAATTGGCGAATATGTACAGCATTTGGAATAATAAAACAACAGAATAATGAATAGAGCAATGAATAGAGTATCAGTCATGTTCATTACATGATATCTCCCCACATGGCTGTATGAGCCGCCTACAACTCACTTGTATTTTCGCCATCGGCTCAGTTTCTTCATTCGTCGGGACTATCTTATCATCATCCATATCTTGTGGCTTTTCCTTAAATCCTTCTTTCTTAATTTAGCAATTTTAAGCTTGTATCCCAGTGTTTGCCTTACGACTAAGAGCTTCCATCTAGGGTAGCCCTTGAATTGAAGGTCCCGAACTTTTTCATATCGTTCCATCTTGGTGATTCCCGTACATTTGCTTCAAGATAGGTAGATTTCAGTGTTTCGTGTCAGTCTGTTAACACCTGGGTTTACTCATTGAATCCCTGTATTGGAAATCCTAGTTGACGCCGATATTGTGGAGAGGCTTTTGACCATGATTCTAATCTATCTTTGTCATGCTGCTTTCTTCCGTCAGATTTCATCCTGCCTACCTAACACTAGTTGCGTTGTTGCTCTGTGTCAAATTGATGCGACAGCTGTGTGCCTGATCTCCTTTTTGTGACTATCTGTTGTGTGAGAGATCGAAGTTGATGTTTTTACAGGTGATTACTTTGACTCAGTCCCGAACCCTGAACGGATGTGTCGACAGTTCACTGGGTACCAGTATTGGGGTAACAGTACTGGCGTTCAGCTGTAGCACCCTTCTGGTGCCTAGCCGCCAAGGAAGCCCAGGGCTGAGATACTGTCAGGTTCCCCAAGCCTAGCCAGGGGAAGTGGCGGAGGTCGGATTCGAACCATGGACCTTCCGGTCAGTAAATTTGCGCTCTAACCACTTGGGCCATCTCGCCCCCAGTACTGACTGGTGGCATCGTTAGTTTCTCATTTATTTAACTAAAAATTATACAGTTGGTCTGCGAGAATCATCCGTTCTTAGCTTACTGCCGCTAGTAGTTTACTTCACTTGATAATCTTGGCCTACCTCTAACTTTAAAAATAGCTCTCTCGCCAACACAAAGACGCCAGGGAAAAGCTGTCCAGCGTGGAGAGTGCGGAACAGCTAGCGTTTGAGCAATTTTCCGGATGCCTTCGAAGATCTCAAGCGGAAGAACGGGTTCAAGCCAATCGGATGCGACAATGGTCCATTGGACTGAGCGTTCTCGCAGGGCTTGTTGGGTTCAGTGCCACATGGGTGCGGTTCAGGAATCAAGCTACTGTACACCCTGCCTCGACAGTGGCTGTTGCCGCAGCTGACAAAGAAGTAAAATTCTTGCCTTGAGTACATGTCTAAGGTTGATACTTCTGGGCACAGTCTTTTATTTTTTTTTCACCACCATTCCAGTAACTGACTTAGGTGTCCGTTTATGTCATGTGTCGATATGCCCGTCCTAAACCCGTATTCCGTTTTCAATGAAGCCACCTTTGCGATTCATTCATTTTATACTACTTGGTTATTTGAGAGTAGCACGAAATTACCAGACTAACCGTGCGACACCGACTGATGGTTCCCGTCGAAGTACCCGTAAGGTAGCTTAGCGATGCACAGTAGTTTCTCGAAACTTGAATTCAAACTTGCTATATTTGAAGAACACCATTTCCACCGGAAACGTAATCCACCATGTGGTTCGTTCTGGCTTGGGATCGTGTGCGTCCTATTGTGCCTCAATGATGACTGACAGGTTTGAGGGCTTCAAACAGCTGGAGAAAATTGCACATCAGGATGGGTTGACATGCAACTGCAAAGACTGTTCTCTTCAGGAATATTGATGGCATCATCAGAGTCCGTTACGATGTTCCATCTCGACACACTGGCTTTGCGCCCACCAGACGTCGAAATCTTCGCAGTTACCAAAGGATGTTAAGAATCAATGCTCACAGACCAATAGGAGTTGGAATCCTTAATGCAACCACGCCACCTGCGATGTGATTAGTTCGTTTCCATGTTTAAGAGATGCCATGTCGTAGTGACGGTCCGGATGGTAGCTGTTGTGCGTTACTGAACGGTAGTGCAACTCTGTATCGGTCCCTTGGCTTCCTGCTCCGCCCACTATAGTATATCAAAAGGCACGGTAGCTCTACACAGCTTTTTCTGGAGACCAAGGACAATTATTACAACTGTATTTATAGGTTAATCACAGTGTTCCACAATGTCGTCCAAATGATGTTATGTTCGGCTATTAGGGATGGCTGGCCTCCGGACAGTGGCACGGAACAAATTGTGGTTAAAGTACGGGCCTGCTCAACAGTCTGTTTCCACCGTCACACGTATCAGGCGTATAAGTTGTCGAGACTGAAACGATCACACAGAAACTTCGCTTGTCGCTTGTTGCTTAAACGAACAGCTAACACCACGGTAGTGGAATTTGCTCATTTCCATAGGTTTTCATCCAGGCGTTTGTAAAATTTGTTTAATCTCATTCAGGCTTAGATCAGTAGGTGCTTCGACGAACAGTTAGCGGTTCTCTTGCTGTTTATTAGACCGAAACCAACATGCAAAGCCCAGTTCACAGAGATAGTTGTTGAGTAGAATCTATCCAAGCAGATCAGCCTCCAATCTTTTTCTCAGAGGAATACCAATGGTAGCGCGCACATACGGTCTCCTGACAGCCACATGCAAAATTTCGTGACAAAGTCGGAAGGAGCGACTAGATGCCGCACAACAGGTGAATCTTGTAGACGCTGCATATATCAACTCCAAGTGTTTTCAGGGCTCTGGCCAAAACGGGCTGCTGACTGATTCGCATTAGCGTGCGAGTAATGAGATTCTCAAGTTTGAAGGGGACACGATGGCGAAAAAATAGGAGGCTCGTTTCGTTTTAAGACAGGTTTGCGATGCTGGGAGTGAGGACCATAAATCGGTAGGTGTTTGGCAGTAGGGTAGTAGTTAGAGGGAAGAAAGCCCTTTGTTAGCAAACACGAACGAAGCGGTTACAAGCTATTAGACACGAAAGTCAACATCTCAGATGCACAGAGCTTTTGAAAACTGAACATCCATAAGCGTCTTCTTGAAATTTCCTGGACATTATTTGACTATTGAACAATTTGTAAACGAACACGACAAAGCGACTCCATAATTCCCATAGTGGCGTTCACCTTCCGTCACTTACGGGAGCGGAGCCTGGACACTGGATAATGGACTACTTACATGCTTCATCAGTAGCATACACCTTTACAATAATAGTCCGTGGTTTGTCTGACGCTGGAGTGAAATCTTTCCTTGGGGGTTCACTTTTGCAGACTCAAGTTGAAAAATCTGACCATAGTACAGCGGGGTGAGGCACGGAGGTCGCAGTCCACTGGGATACTTCGAACGCACTTTGGATGAGGGAACTATCTAGGGTACCCAGTGCACCCTACGAATACCTATGTTGGTAGACGGCCTTTCCATCCAGATTTACATTTAGGCACGAGAGAAGCGAAGACATCATTCGCCACTCGGGTTTTTTTGGGAATTCGATGGCAGTTCAGCAAAACGCACTGTCCCAGGAGTGATGATGCTTAGTCCTGAGAAAAGTCCAACACCATGAGGCTATGCATTTCTTTAACCATCGGGAGAGCTTAGTTTGGGCTAACACAGATGGTGTAATCCAAGAGGTAGTTGTGGTGGGGAAAGGATCCTGCACTACGGGGATATTCGGACAGAACCCCTAGATTCTAGGCCGAATTTCCCCGGATCGGAATTTGAGGATGCGATGCAAGGCATGTTCCTTTGGAAGGATTTCACTTTCGCAATCATACTTTCTTGTCATTTCACCGTCGGGAATTTTGTTAGTCGTAGGTGTGATTCTACTCAACATCAGTTGTCACAAGTAATCGCTTTACAGAGGCTTTGTGAAACAAAAACTGATGAGAACGTCTGATTGCCGAAAAGGTTATTTTATGTTGAAGCAAAAATGTGCGTCACATCTTCGGTGAGATTAATTACAATTGACTCACACACCTGGGACCGTCAAATGCGCTGAATTAATCTACTTCACCATGTTTCCTTTGTGGCTATCGAACTGGATGCGTTTCAGCTCTGCCCCTAGGTGAAACGGTCGATTTTGTTCATCTGCAGTGTGCGAACGATGCTCTTTCGAGTGTAGCACCACCAATCATCTCCTTATGATATAATTTAGTGTTTCTGTCAATAACTACTTCAGTTTATCCGAACAACAACGCTTTCCACGAATCTGATTGAAGTTCCGTTTTCATCTCTTCAGGTCTTACTTCCTGTTCTACGTGAACTTCAGCACACAAACGAACAGTGGAAGGAGGTGAGTCACTAATGAAGGTCCGTGACTTTCGCTGCATTTTATTCCACGTGTTGTTTTAGCCAGGTATACGACTACTATCTTGGCTCGGTTTGCCTGAAGTGCAACCATTCAGGGCACAGGGACACATTCTGTTACTTTCTGAACACACGTGACGTTCGTCCTTTGTTACATTTTAGACCATCGCATCCTTGTCCGGAGTCATCGAGTCTTTGAAGACGGATCTGTCAAAGGTACGTTCCCAACGATATCTATCCCGGTGATCTTGAGTTAACCTGCTGACTCCCTTATGGGTCGGTCGTTTCTGTTTGTAAGCTTGGACAACCTTGGGTCATTCTAACCGTTGCGATTCTCTCGGGTCGCCATTCTTAGATATAACCTAACCGTGAACCGCGATAGTGAGTAAATGGAACCCCAGAACGATCATACTGTCACATCTAGTGATCCATGTTACCACTGCGAAACGTTTTGACAATCTGCATGCCTCAGCAACTCACTGAGCTACGGCCCTGCGAGTCTACCATCTAATCTACCGGGTTCACTGACCCGTGGTTGTCTGAAAAACACTGTCCTCTCAGATTTGAACTAGTTTTGCTCTTTGGGAACATAAAGTACTGTGGTAGCCTGGCAACAAGCTATGTTCCGTTGACGTCATGCTTTTGAGCCCAGAACTTTGAACGTTATAAGCCTCAGTACCCTGAAGGGAATCGTTCACTTTTAACACCCCACCGGTGCATAGTCTCCATGCCACCCGAAAGAAAACACGAAAGCTTCTATACTGTCAGATTGCCAAAGCCTAGACAGGAGCAGTCAAGGTGTCAAACCATCGACCTTCCAGTCAGTATTTTCGCCCCTTAACAACTGAACTACTTCGAGTTGGATATCTTAACTGTAAGTCGGTTCTCATACAAACAACTGGCAATAGTTGCGTGGCATTTAATTTGATATTATTAGCAATATTGATCCCAAATTACTGCACTTGATGATCTTTTGTGTTTATTTTTTTCTGTGGATGACAACATCAGGCTGAGGCGACAGGCAGCGTGACAAGCAAGTCGTGGCAGACTGTTGTGGAGCCTGTTGAGGTGAGTATGGTATTCCGCCCTTATTTCCAATAATTACGATGAGTGATGCGCGCCAGCATGATCAAACTTTGCACGCTTTTTTCCGTTGACGTAGGATTAAAACATTATCCGGTTGCTTGTTTGTTCGGCTGGGGCGAGACGGCCCAGGTGGTTAGAGCACCAATTTACTGACCGGAAGGTCCGTGGTTCGAACCCGACCTCTGCCTCTCGACTTCCCCTGTCTAGGCTTGGGCAACCTGACAGTATCCCAGCCCTCGTGCTTCCTTCGGGTGGCATGACAGTTAGGCACCGAAAGGGTGCTATAACTGGGCGCTTTTTTTGTTCGGCTCCATGTATCCAACAAAACGGCGGTTTCTATTTTTTCTCCGCACTGCTTGCGTGAACCGGTGAATCGAATGCAATGGGGATGAATAGTGTTCAGTCTGTTGACCTCTTCTTCGGCTTTGCCTTGAAAAAATCGTTCAGCTGTAGCACTCTTCCGGTGCCTAGCTGCCATGCTAGTCGAAGGAAGCACGAGGGCTGGGATACTGCTAGGTTGCCCAAGCCTAGACAGGGGAAGTCGAGAGGCGGAGGTCGGGTTCGAACCACGGATCTTCTGGTCAGTAAATTCGCGCCCTAACCACTTGGGCCATCTCGCCCCTTTGTCTTACGAAATCATGGTGGAATAATGTGACCTTAGTACAATGAGATTTACTGCTACTCAATGTCTTGGCTACTGTCGGGGTGAAATAATCGGCATTAAAAACAGTAGGGAAAAAGGAGTCAAAGTGACAACTTCCATTATAAGTTGTTTCGTTCGGTTGAAGTCGACACATCATGCGTCTGGTTAGCTTGACTATTGGGTACTCCTGACGAGACAGCTGATGTGGACACATTGTCGTTTCGGTTGGCGTACATGCGTTGGAGTCGGTGGCACTCTCGTCCCAGTATGAGTCCACATCTGATGGTGGAACATTTGGAAGAGACTCTAGAAGACGATGCTGGTAAATTCGTCTAACATCCGCGCAAACCGTCACACCACGGTCAGGTCCAAGCTCTTCCTGACGGCGTATATCATCCGCTTACACACATGAAAAAAGTGAATAGCAAAGCTCCACTCCTGATACTATTTCAGTGGCTGACAGGTTGGTACAAGTACTCAGTGTTGAGTGATTTTCTAGACTCCAGACTCCTGTCTGTAGGTACAACTCTATTCAGTGAACTTCTGTCCAAACTGAGAAACGTCTCGTTGTCATGTAATGTGTCTTGCCTAAGATTGTCAACAAAGTCGGAAGGATTCTTGACGTTATTTTAAAAGGATTTAATAGCCCGGTTTAGACGTTTTGGAACCTTGTGTTGAACTGATGTCGTGGTACATGATTGGTCACGCATATCACCACGCGCATCACCATTAGCCCATAAGCAACTCAGGAAGAGTAAATTCGAAAGATGGGTGAAACTTCAATTGGAGAAGTCGTCACTCGTTCAGCTGTAGCACCTTTTCGGAGCCTAACTGCCAAGCCACCCGAAGGTTGCACGAGGGCTAGGATGCTGCCAGGTTTCCCAAGCCTGGACAGGGGAAGTCGAGAGGCAGAAGTCGGGGTTCGAACCCCGGACCTTCCGATCAGTAAATCTGCACTCTAACCACTTGGACCATCTTGTCGTCACTCGAGAATTCAGTCAACTCATGACCACGTGATGCGGTTTCCGTGGCTGAAGGAAAAGTGGCCCCAAACCCCGAAGAGTTAATCACATCGCTGATCAGCCGCTCATCGTCGAATGATGAATTGTTCAAACTACTAGGCGTGGTTTGAATCTCTTCGACGTTTCACGAGATGCGGACTGTTGATTATTCTTAGTAAGGGTGAACCAAATGCACAGTGCTTCTCGGTCTTGACTTCTCAATTGAAAACCCCTTCAAACTATCATCGATTTACTCAGAGAGACCGGATAAACAGGCTAAGCTTCACCTTGACTATCTTAATTTGGACACTTTTTCGATATTTTGTGTTGCTGAGCGCAGCATTTAAGTATCGACCGAAATGTAGTTTTGGCTATACTATATTATCCTATCATAGTTTCAAAAAAAAACTAAATGTTCTTTACACTGGGTTCTGTGCGGCTATCAACAGTTACGACTCACTTCTGACGATAGACTTGCTTGTTGAGAGGGTTCAACGCGCCGTTTTCATTCTGTGCCTATGGACATCAACAGGGCTGTTGTTTAACGACCTGTCGAATCTCACCGGTCGGTTGCAGTGTAGAAATAGACTCGATCAGCATGTAGGAAGAATTTGTTTGCGGCGTTACTCTTCCTAACAATTCAGAAATCCAAGGGCTCGTTGCGTTTGCATCACTATGAAGATAGCTTCCACAAAACCTTTGAGGTTATGGGGCTTCGTCAGTTTCTTATCTTGTCTTCTCCGCTCTGTGCTTCCTACTTTTAAACCTCTTTTCATTTCCCACATTTCAGCCACACGATCGAGGAGTCCCCGTTTGGACGCTTTTGGCTTGTGGTGTTGGAACAATTTCCTTCCTGCTGTGGGTTTTTAGTTACCGTGGCAGCTAACTCTAGCCCGATCAAAGAATCTTTCATTCAAGTCTGGATTTTTTATCATGAGTTCTTACTGTGAGCCCCGCCCCTGTCATCATTGTAAACAAACTTTGCCCTGTGCCAGGAATTCCATTTATACTTTCAACTTAGGTGGTTATTTTGACATAGATCCTTATTTCGACCTGCGCCGTGTTTTTAATTCTTTTTCTGCTATGATTTATGAAGAAATTCAAAATAATTTGGTGTAGTATGTGCCCTTGATTTGGTTATTCATATTCCACAAATGGACGTTCTCCTGTGGAGTGATGAGCCGACGACCGTAAAACTACAGTTGGCCTAGGTATACCGGAGTCTAACAGAAACTATATGTGGTGGCCGATGTGTTTTACGGATAAAAATAAATGATGGATAAATCAAACGTCACCTTTAGTTCTGTGTGTGCTCATTGTTAACTATGCTTAGAAGTTTGTTAGTACAGTACTTTCGTTCGAGAGCAAGCTCACCAGAACAACCTAAATTGTTTTCATAAACGAAACTACTCACAAGGTTGTTGAAAACTCATCGACAGCCCACGACCGGTCTCGCTCTTCTTGGGGCTCATCAGTTGAGTCTCTCGTGAAAACCAAATTGATTTGCAAATAAGTGTATTTCTCAAAACAGTTCAATTTGGGTTCAAGTGGAATATAAGGTTGACGGAAACTCGGGGACTTCGCCTACCTGATGAGCCCCAAGAAGAGCGAAACCGGTCGTGAACTGTCGAAGAGTTTTCAGCGACCTTGTGAGTAGTTTACTTCATGAAATATACTGCGATATCTCGAATATCGTGCCAACTGAATCGTGAGGTGGCCTGTGTACAGCGCATTCAGTTGTAGAACATCACAAACGAGAGATTCAGTTGAGTCTCTCGGGAAGACCAAATTGAGTTGCTAATGAGTGTATTTCTCGAAAACCTAAATTGTTCTCTCTCTTGGCAAATTGTTTCCAGAGAAAATTTGACAGTCTCGCTAACGATACTTGAAAAATCCTCCCTGGTTATTACGTAGTGGGTCAACGCAACAAATAATTTTCTCGGTGCTATTGCTGCGTGCTGCGGGACTGTTTTACTTTGGGCAGGAATTTCGCTGTTGACCAAGAGTTCGTTACAATTGCACGAATAGTTTTTTTTCAACTTGATAGGCGACGCAAAAATGTTTTTACAAACAGTATGTAAGGTAGCAGTTCCACGAGTTTTCACCGTAAACATGCGAATATTGTATGTTTACCAGAAGACTGCAGCAAGTGAACAAAGCGGGGGCGAAGTGTACGGAGATGCCGATATTCTCGTACTGCTTGTGAAACAAATTCTCATGAACTACGTCTTGGTTGGTCCGGGGAACTAACAAGAAATATCTTTTCCACCTTTCCTGCTTGGTCCATTGAAAAACGTGGCTCCCTCGATACCTTTCAAAAATGGAAGGAAAACAGGAAACTTGGATAAGCGTGAATGTTTTTTTAGGCTGCAATCAAATATGACGTCTGGAGCCAAGATCTTTGACGTGCCTAGCCTTCTCTGTTCACCGGACCCATTGCTCGTTAATCTAGCTTGGGGCACTGTCTCTGTGTGGGTATTCGTCTTGTCACTCACTTGACAGTGTCTTTGAGATCGAAACAAGGTGGGGACACTTGGAAATATGGCTTGGTGTTGATCGTTCAGCTGTAGCACCCTTTCGGTGCCTAGCTGCCGTGCCACACGAAGGAGACACGAGGGCTGGGATACTGTCAGGTTGCCCAAGCCTAGACAGGGGAAGTCGAGAGGCAGAGGTCGTGTTCGAACTACGGACTTTTCGTTCAGTAACTTCGCGTTCCAACCACTTGGTCCAACTCGCCCCGGCTTGATGTGGGAACGGACTATCGTGATGGCTTTGAAGCGCATTTAATCTCTCAGCTATGTCACAAAGTGCTCAGCTCGTATTACCTATTTAAGCCCGTCGGTCACAGAAATGTGCACGTGTGTTACCGTGCATTACAACGAACTATTACTGTCAACACTGATGTCACTCTCCGAAAATGCACACTACGTTGACTATTGGAATGCCCTCGGGGATCTGGACGTAGACCTTTTGAGCTCTACCACAGTAAGAGCTGTTTACGACCTTAGACCAGGCAAGCCCTTAAACACTCCGGTAAGTTTGCTTCTATCGATCGTTTGAGCTCAGGTTACTGTATGGTTTCCATTAACTGCGCTTCACCAATTCATGTCACAGCTACCTGATTAATAGTGCAGTCATGTGCACTGATGACCTCTTCCAAAGAGATCACAGCTTATCGCTTTATATGAGGCGAGGTTTTGGGCTTTATGAATGAAGTACTGATGTTGATTTATTACTGAGCGCAACGTTTTCTAAACAAGGTGTCAAAAGATTATATGGTCAAAAATAATAAAAGTTATATTGTTAGTGATCTTTTCACTAGCTGGCTCTTGGCCCCTCAGAAGAGACCAGTTTTGTGCGTCTCCCACGAGGCGATTCGTTTGAACGATCGTCTTTGAACAGCTGTATATAGGACATCCATCCAATCTGGTTGTACGCCAACATATCTGTCCGTCGCGAAGAGCTTCGCCGTGGTGCGACGGTTTATGTACCCCAAGATGTGTTGAATTATACTGGAAGAGGATGGTTATTCAGCGTCCACGGAGTTTCTTCCACCAAGTTAGCTAGTGATCGGAGGCCAGACAGACATAGTCCCTCAAGTATTTGGGTTAAAAATTAGACATTGATGGTTTTACGCCAGGCGCTGTTCTCTTTTCTCTTTCTTTTAGGTAGGATTTCCGAATGGTGCGGCGTCAAACTCACATGCTCAAGTGTTTCAGTCCTCCCTAAGTACACGAGGCTTTCTCAATATATATATATATATATATATGTACATATATATATATATATATATATATATATTACTGTCCATGACATCCATCGCGGTAGGGATGACTATTCACCATATTTCCAGTAAACGTCAATACCTTGTTAATGTATGCATCGGCCGGTGGAGTGTGTATCACATTTGTCTTCATGTGAATAACATAATACATGATTATGTACGCTGTGAACAGACATACTCTTGATAGGTCTCTGCTCTCACCTATAGTTCCATTAGCAGGTAGCAAAGGATAGTCGATCTTAATCGAATGATGATAACTCACTCTGTCGAACAGTTCCGTTGAAGACCCTTTGTAAGATGCATGATACTGACTTGCAGAGACGCTCCCGCAAAACAGTACAATGCTAGCAACGTATACCGCAGCGAGGGCTGTCCAGAAGAGTGCGTAACTGACTGAATATCGTATGTTGGTTGTTTCCTGGATGGCCTGTTTAGAAAAGAAAAAGAATGAGACAAGTCGTGCAGTGTGATAATGCACACGTTACAGTTTGTACAACGAGGCTTGACAAAATCACAAACCTACCGGGCTAGTCGAGACTTAACGCGAGGACTTCTTTCTGTTTTCGGACGAATAGTGGAACACTTCTTATTTCCACTGTGTCCAGGACGCATAGGATAGAATCCCGTGACAACTAACTGGAACGAGGAAAGATGTTCTTTTTAACGGGGATGCGATTTTTTGAGCGAGGGAAGATGTTCTTTTTAACGGGGATGCGATTTAACTACCCTCGAAGTCGATAGGATAGTGGGATTGTCATTTGGAACAAATTGGGAAGTGACAATACTACCTGGAAATTCACTCTCGAAGTTCGACAAACTTCCTTCGATGCAGTCAAATGCAAAGATAATCTGATGTTCGTCTATAGCAATCATTCGCTTTCCTCAAAGCTGCTTTCTTTACCTTATCAGAGGATTATGCGCAAACCGAATGACAGCTTACACGGTTGGAATTTTCTCCTCTTGTTCATTGTAAGGTACGATTTAATTATCTCCGTATGTATGTGTACGGGCTACCCGTTACATCCTCCGAGCAACTTTGGCATGATATTTCCTCGACCAAACAGCAATTTTGCGTCCGAATTCAACTGATTCCAGTACGTTAAAACAATCTGAAGATGTCGCCTAGCGACTCGGTTGAGAACACAATTTTGTCCGAAATATATGAAGAGACGGTTGCATCGGCTCTATCCCATCAAGGCTTGGCAGTCACATGAAAGCATTCTTTCAGAATGAGATACAAGTGATCCTTTGCATCATCTCCAATAGTCCGATTTTGATCTTGCGACTGAATTCCGTGTATGCTGAAGAGCCGAGAGTTATTACACAGTTGTGTTGTTGGAATACATAACCAATGGACATTCCACAAGTTCTTTGGGAGATTCAAGCCTTCAGCCTCTCGGCTAGTGATGGGAAATTGTACCGTTTGGCCAAGAGCAGCTGACTCGCACTTGGGCCGAATATAGTGTCACTACTTGGTCAGTCATGTGACTCGTGTTGACTAGCTTCTCCGTTTTGGCTTTTATGATGTCGAATACATGCTATGGATGTGTATTGTGGCCAGCACCGTTCATATACGATATGAAACAACACAGTTGCATTGAGTCGAGAGTTGCATTTGAATTGATCAGTTGCAACTTTTGATTGATGGAGGGCCTCAGTGACTAGAGCTTCCTCATTGGGTGTCGAGTACAACCGGTTTTCTGCAATGACTTCCGACGTTTCTACCATCAGTCCTCGACTTTTTCGTGCTCACACAAGGGGTGGTGTTCTAATTAGAACCATTCAAGTTTATTTGAACAGTGCTGGCCTGGACTTGAGTAGGTTTGTTTGCTCACGTACCCTCTTGAGGCACTGTCTTTTACTCACAAGGATGTATATAGTCTTAGAAGCCTACGATCAAGTAGATTAACAGATATCGATGTGTATGCCCGAATGACTGAAATGTCTCTGGCGCAGGGATATCTAGAATACCTCATAAAGTTGGGCTGGATCTCATAGCTTCTGTAGCTTCGCTTCGATATTGCCTCAATTTATAGCACCTGTCAAGTAGTACTCTTGAGTTAACATTATGAGCGTAGCACAATCCCACGGAGAACAGCTGGTACACGTGCGCTGTAGGAAAAAGTCAAACGGAAATGAACTACTGTTGACTGGCTTTTGTAATCACGCTCATCATACAAAGTAAGTCCCAGTGCAAAATATGCACTTTTTAGGTAGGAATTTGATGCATCTCGCTCATACCCGACTTGGTCCGTTTGCTCACCCTAAACTAGAACATAAAAACATTCCACTGTGGTAACTTAAGGTCACCGGTATTTCTTAAAATGTCCTCAATGCTATTCCTGGTCGTACCGGCTTTCTGATCAGTCATACTCGGGCTGTCAACTGGTGTGTGCATCCCCGCAGCTTGGAATTTGACGTATCTGCTTACACCTTTGAGTGTGAGTACAAACTATGTGACTGCGTGGGTGTGTATCTCCCGTAAAGCAAGAAAACTGCATTTAACGGTCGATCACTCTCCAGAAAGATCTACTATCTGCTGCCATCACTATTATCACGACACACATTGAAGGTTAGATTTGAGTAGTGGATGAATATCATATATGTATGCATGTCCGGAGCATTACTGAAACAGAATGGGAAACTGCAAAGTAACTCGCAAATTTACTGAGAGTCGTCTTATCAGTTTAAGTATGGAACTGTGTGTCGTTTCAGTTCATCTTTGTTCGCCTTACTCTAGACTTTGGAAAAAACCGACCGATTGCTTCAGAAAAGGCACATGTCTGACAGATGGCATTATAAGGAGAAGTTTGCTGGACACTAATGTGTACAGTGATCAGAGTGGACCGTGTGGTAGATTGTCCTTCTTCATCTAAGGGAATCAATGCATGGTCTGACTACGTTCAGTTGAAAGCACTCTGGTGTGTATTCTCCAGTTCAGCTGACATTAATCACTTTGTGAAGCAACCTGTGAACCTTCATTGCACAGACAACGTGAGAAAATGCAACAACCTCACTAGGTACATGTATGACTTGTCAGTGGATCTCTGTATTTGTCAAAGTCCCGACAGCGATCCCCTTTACGGCGTGACCTTGAGTGTGTGTGTGTGTGTGTCAGGCTGTTTGTCCTGCCTGACATTACACACAGCCACTTCTCCGATACAACTGAATTTAATTGGCTTTTTGAATTTGGCGCGCGGGGCTAGTACTGCGAGAAAAATAGTTCACTGTGCCTTGCCACTGAATAGCGCTTCTTTGTCAATGCAGCTTCTGAAGCTGAATACAAAAAAACCTTTTCCTCTGTTTTTGGAAGTCGAGATGCAACCCTGCCTGAATGTCTAGGTAATTTGAACTCATTAGAATTTAGGCATCAAAACCTTTATTGTTATTATTATTACTAGTAGTACGATGATGATTACTAGTGATTACTAGTAGTGTTGAATTTCCCCTGTCTAGGCTTGGGCAATCTGGCAGTATCTCAACCCTCGTGCTTCCTTCAGGTGGCTTGGCAGCTACGCACTGAAAGGATGTTACAACCGAACGATTATTATTATTATTTGATTACTGGTAGTATTGAGTTTAGAGAAAATCAAGCAGCCAGTTGTTGAACGTAATTAAAAATTCAGATAGGGAGAGTGTCAGAAGGGGATAGCCATATCCTGAGGAACTCTTGCACCACGAGACTATTAACATTAGACAGGGACGCGGACCGTCACTGGGGCTCCTAGGCGCCGGATAGCGGTTCGTGGGTGGCCGCACCTAGTTTCCTGTCGGACGCCTCAGTCATTGGCGCCACGTCCGAGAGATTGTTCCATGAATTCGTTCCCTCGGACGGGAGACTAAACACAAGTGCTACAGTCTGTGCTTCATCAGCTTGACGAGCATCGCTGCCAGCACTGCCTCAAAATTCGGCAATACCATATATTAAAAAGTCTTTTCCATTCTGGTAGCATTCTCACGGAGTTAGACGATGGTTCTTTATGTAAATCGTATTCTTCATTTCAATCCTTTGTTGTATTGAATTTCATCCAGTCGTTGACATTAGTTTTTAGAGCATGATGAGCCTCCGCCTCTTACTCAAGTGTCTGCCACGTGAACATCACTGAAATCGTCGACAGTGTATTCTTCTTTCAACTCGAAATTGACTGTTAGATAGTCCAGAGCCTGTGGTACAATCTTGGAGGTTTAAACTTTCGCCTCCAACAAACCTCCAATATCTGTCGCCAGTTCGCTCAGAGCCTAACGTTTTTGCTTCTCCCTTCACCGGAAGAATTCACCTTCCAAAGAGATCATAGACTGTCTCTATGAGCACAGTTGAAGCGATTCCACCGTGTCCCAAACCGCTATGCGGTAGTGAAAAGAAAAGCGGTCCAAGGGTCGGTCCGGGAAGCATATTTCGGCAGTAGCTCAGCGAATGATAAGAATGCCGTAAAGCAGCGTTTACCGACTTGTAAGTTTGTTCAATCTCGGTTTCTCTGAAGTAGGAAAAATTCCTGTTTAGTTGGAGGTCACAGTATGGAGCCCCCCACCCCCCGAAAAAAAAAGTTTCCACTTTGCACATGATTGGGCAAGGAGAGCTATAAGACAAAAAATGGTTCACTCTTTGGTGCATCATCAGCTCACATATATAGCCTAGTTTATTCAAAACCGCCTAAGCAACTCCGGCATCACTGATTCGACCTTGTGAAAGCCCTCATGTGAATCATATCATTGGACTAATACCATAACCAAACGGCTGAAAAGTACACTGAGTGGATTACCAAGTCTACATTCATTTACATTACTCCTGTTTGGAATAAGAGTACAAAATCTGAATGTATTATCATCTACGGGGGAGTATGACCAGGTGTAGATAAGGACGCTGCGCGAATGATCATCTACCTTTAGAGCACTGTGATCAATGTTTCTCAAGGCTAAGATTTTCAAGGATCACCTTAAACCTGAGACAGGTGAATGCGGATTGCAATGGCGTTCTCGATCTGTAGTCTGTTCTTATTGTGTCTGATGGATAACCACGAAACCAAAGCTACCTAGTTAAAATCAAGGCCAACCAAAGTTAGTAATTCGCAGTTCGGGACTGTGCTAGGCACACAGAAACAGCTGTTCCGTTCATGGTGTCTGGTCGAAAGACGCTCATTGATCTGAAGGTGGCTGTTCAATATCGCGTTGATTCCGATCCAAATGTAGGCAGTACAGACGACCTAATGGTTACTGAGCGAACTTGCTGACGGGAATGTCCGTGGTTCGAACCCAATCTCGACTTCTGCTTCTAGGCTTGAGCAACCTGGCGGTAAGTATCTCAACCCTCATGTTTCCCTCGGGTGGCATATTAATTCGTAAAGACCTTCAATTTGTTACGTTTCGACACCAAACGGTAGGCACCACTTCGGTGCCTAGCTACCATGCCACCCGACGGTTACACGAGGGCTAGGATACTGTCAAGTTACCCAAGCCTAGACAAGAGAAGTCGAAGGGTAGAGGTCAGGTTCGAACCACGGACCTTCCAGTCAGTAAATTCGCGCTCTAACCACTGAGCCACCTGACTCATTTCGAATGGAAGTACAGATGATGAGATATGCTTTCAAAGGCAATTCGCCGGTCTCTTCTTAGAACTTTGCGTAGAGTAGAGAGTGCTTAAACACCAGATCTCAAAGATGACGTCATGCAGATTGTGGCTGACGAAACATCCAATAAATCAAGATGGGTGTTCCTCAAACTCTTATCCGAAGGATTGCAGGTGCGGAGCTCTTCAGAAGATCCATGCGATGTGTTCTGTTTCTGTTCTCCAACTGAGACGAAATATCTGTACAGTGCTTCTTGGCTTTTCAGCATCTCCCATGCACCGAGAAGATAGCGTCTTGTAGTTATATCCGGTGCTCCTCCTGAAGGGCGCCCAACCTTGGGATTAATGAAAGTCGGGCTGTTCTCTGAAGCATACTTCATTTAATACCTTCCTTCATTTGATACTATAGGGCTATAGACGGAAACAAGTAAACATGCTTCCACAGTTCTAATAAATACCAATTTGTGAATTAACTTGGTGTTGCGTTGGAATCCAACTCAAATTATAGTTTGGTTTTGAAGCAGAACTATGGAGCAAGTACACTTGTTGTCCGACTGGTACCGTCGATTTTGTGACCGATCACTGGAATACCACGGAATACCATATCCACATTTTCGTGTGCGTAGGTAAGCGACTGAGTCTTTACAGGTTGAAAATAACGTGCTGGGTTTTCTCCCGAGGCTTGTGAAAAGAAACACAAATCACGTGTATTCCTCCTCAGGTTTGTTTGCGATATCTACAGTCAGTCGTGCGCAAATACTCGTTGAGGCACACAAACAGTGATTACACTGATAAGGGAAATCACCATTCTCAACTCGCCAAGTCACAATGTGTGCGGAAGATCACGTAAAAGAAGGTTTCTTTAGGTGACCAACGTTTCAAATGAAAACGGAACATTACACGGCAGCTGGAAGTTCTGAATATCATATCCTTAAATTGTTTGCCACGATAAGTGGAGCAGAGCGCGTTCAACTCACGGAGGCTCTGGAAAAGAGTAGTAGTCCAAGTATATGGGAGAAAATGAAGAAACATATATAGGGAGATCCATGCATGAATCCTCATCTCCTAAGCCACAAACGATGTCATTTCCGGATTACATGCGCAGGAGAAAGTGGCCAAATTAAGACACGAGACGGGATTTTTGAAGCCATTAGTAGCTTGCTCGCACGATTCAAACTCCGATTTGATAGCCTGCTCAAACGAATGCGCGATGACGTATCCACTAATACGGTAAGTCACTAGAAAAATAGACCGTTATTCGTTTAGTCGGACTGCATACCTGATGATCTTTACGGTAGTGACAGAACAGATCCAGCTTTCTTGATCGAAACTATGCACCATTCATGGCAAGTTGTCTTGGAAGATCGATAACCAGCTGTTGGATCTGGAAGAAATGGTCCCCTGTGACAAATTTGTCACTGAACACGGGGCACACTTAACGACATATGGATAAAGAACACTCGGAGCTATTTGCACGGTAAACTTCTCAGCTTGACTACGCGAAGAAAGAACGATTTCATTCCCCTCGTCTTTATGCTGAACATGTCTAGGTTTTAGAAAACTACACTGACTGCGATTCGGGGTTTGGACATAATTTCGAAAAACGTGTGACCCGTTTTTAGTGAGTTGTTGACCCTCTGGGTGTGTGTCTCTCATCGCGGGGTTCTGTTGCTTAGTCAAACTTCTCATTTTTATGGCATATACCCATGGTATAGGATATAAAAGTGCATTTATTCTAAATATTCGCACACCAAGTGCTGTCGCAACATAACTGTGCGACTTTTCTTTAATGTGAAGAATACGACACGGAATTTGTCACACTTACCTGCGACCAGCTGGTGAATATCTCACTTTGGTCGGGGGTGAAAAGCGTCTTTTCTTGTACCATTGTATAATGAAGGAGAATCAGCGCTGCCTGATAAAAAATGCCTGTTGACAGAAGTGAGAAAATTATGGTTATCATGGTCCGAAATGTGTTGTTCAATGTTTGACTGAGTTGACGGAACGAACAGCTTGATACAGAAAATATCAGAGTATTTGTCTCCTAAAATACTTCCATAAAATCGTGTGGCTGTAACACCCGGTGCCTGGCTGCCATTCTGCCTGGAGGAAGCATGAGGGCTGGGGTACTGCCAGGTTGCCCAAGCCTGGACAAGGGAAGTCGAGAGGCACAGGTCGGGTTCGAACCACGGACCTTCCGGTCAGTATAGTCGCGCTCTAACCACTTAAACCATCTCGTCCCCAACACTTCCATAACCGGTCGGTATCAGTAAAATTTGCTGATTCTCTGTGGATATGTTTGTCGGAATCAGACCAAACTGTACGTGAAACCCAGTGCACTGGCAATTAGGATGCTAGCTGAATTCTCGGGTTCGTTAACACAGAATTGACCTGCAAATGGCTGTATTTCTCCGACTGTGTGCCGTTCTGTATTTAATGAAAAATAATGGAAGACTAAAGACGACGTCTACTTACGCATCTTAGAAGTTGTATTAGGTTTCACTCTAGTGTGACAAATGAGGCGAATGCACGAGTCTGCAAGGCCGCCTTTGCTAATTCGAGACACCTGTGGCGTCAGAATGGTTTATCTGTGGAGGGACGTGTGTATCAAGCTACAGTGCGGGCTGTTTCGTTGTATGGCTGTGAAACTTGGCCTGTTCGAGCAACGGAACGTTGTTCGACAATCGTTATCTCAGAACCATGGCTCGTGTATGTTGGTGTCAGAGAATCCATAACGAGGCAGTTAGAAAGCGCGTTTCCAGTTGTGCAACGGGTACTTCCATTGAAGTATGTGTCCAGCACTAGAAGCTGCGTTGGTTGGGACATGGGTTGCGTGTGCCGAACCACCGTTTGCCGAGGAGAGTGCTGTTTTTCATGCCCAACTCAGAGTGGCGTACACCGAGAAGTGGCCAACCCTTGACTTGGCAGAGGAGTATGAAGGAGATCACGAAACGCTTAGGTGCTGTCGGTGCTACTCGCCTTCCAGGATGGGGACCGCGTGATCCTCACTGTGCCTGGTTGGAGACACTACAAGATATGGCTGCCAACCGATGTCAATGGTGTTCTTGTTATCAGTTCCTATCCAGATTGCCTGAGTGAGTGTCAGGAGGTATAGTCACCTCGGAATGATTGTGTTAAGCTAGCACTAGGTCCCTTCCCCATCCACCCTTACTCTTTTCTTTACAATAAGGCTTTCATGGTTGCACGGAAGTGAAGCATCGGTGTTGAACACTGATATCATGCTGTCGATGATGATGGTGACGTCTACCTGAAGAACCCCAAGATGGGTGAAAACGATGGTGGGCCGTCGAATAGTTTCCAGTAGCCTTATGAGTAGGGTTCGGTAAAGAAAACACCTGCGTGATCTGGTTCACCGGATCGGCAAGTTTTCTACCCTCCAAATGGAATTCGGTCCCCATTTCTTTGGGTAGTCAATACATTCATGGTTATCTATGCTACTCACCAGCTCTATGCTGTGTCTGTTCGGCGACTTGTTACGCTGGGACCTTAAACGTAGTGTGACGGGGAAAAACAGAGAAATCTGGATTGGATTGAGTGGCTGAACAGTGTCTGGCTTTCAGAAGAGCATGGTAAACAAGGGGTAGTTTGTCACTGCTTTCCTTGGAATATTACTCGAACTCGGAGGATCGTGTTACTTGGCAGGCATTCAGTGAGAAGGTCGAACACGTGGGGAGATATCCGGTGAGCTATCTATTCAGACGTACAACCCGTCCTCACATGCTCCTAGTGGCTAAGTGGCTTTGGATCATTTTTGGAGATTGATACGGCGCCGTCATCGTGATGAAGCTAGTCTCAGTGATTGTCAGATCAGAAGACAACGAAACAGTTGAACCTCATGGTATTTGCCTAGGATTTCTCATCACGTGGCACCTGCGTAGTGCAGTCTAGTGTCGGTCAGTATATTGTTGGGCTTTCACGTACTAGCATATGCATGTTACTAGTATGATTATATTGTGTTGTAGATACTATATTATTGTTATACTAATCGTAACTGGATAAGTTCTTGAAATCGTTCAGAATTTCCGTGAAAAGTGTCTGATATCTACGGTTGCAAGCACACCGATTCAAAGATTATTTTGAACAGGTAGTGACCATGTGAATTTGATATATAATAGTGATGAACTGGTAAGATAAGCAGATATCAACCAGCGTGCAAAGTACAGCTTTGAGTTCTACTTTGCAGAGTGATGAAAGGTAGATGAATTTTAACACGGCCTGACTTTCCAATACATCTGACAACTCTGATGTTGAACAATAGATGCCTGGAACGCATTAAGTATTTTGGAACGACCACTCACCGGACACAACAAACAGTAGTGCGACTATGATTCTGAAAACCAGCAGGTGAGTACTGTCCTCTGCGGCATTCATCCAGAAGTGCACAAATACGCCAGCCAGTACGGTGGCCACGGCAGCGAGGAACAGGGCAACTATGAAGACCACAGAGGTAGATAGACGATAATCTGATTTCAAGAAAAGGAAAAAGGAGGAAATTTGATTGTTCGATCCTAATGAAACTGAGGAAGAAAGAGGGCATTATTAGCGAGACAGATTCATTTGCAAACTAATTTGGTTTTGCGAAAGACTAACCTGGAACCCAGCTGAATCTCTCGTTTGTGATGTTTCCAGGCTGCGTCTACCTGATAAGCCCCAAGAGGGGCAAAATCACTCGTGGGCTGTCGAAGAATTTTCAGCAACCTTATGAGTAGTGCACTACGAATAGGGCATTAGTAGATTTCAATCGAACAAGACGCCTGGCGCTGTTTTATCGGGAAAGCAGGAAGGAAGTAACATACTCGTTTACTAACTGGTGGTATCGCTCAGACCGAATTTAAAATGGTTACACCTGAAGGATTCCACACCTCTTAACCTAAGTGATACCCAGAAGAGCCACCAGCTCAAAGTACCCGTCTGTTGACGGAGATTTTGGTCTGTTGAAAAGTAAAAAAAGCCTGTATATCTGTTTCGTCCTCACTGGTCATCATCGGCAGTGCGCATCCCACAAAACTCCAAGGAGTCTCGGACCTACGACCTCCAGGCTAGTAATTGGAACACTCAACCTGTCGGAGAACTAATGGCCCTTCATCTTTTCGAACTCCAGTGAATCCGACTGTTGATGAGTTCCTTGTGACTGAGCTGTTAAGCGTCCAAACTGCTGGCCAGGAGGTCGCGGATTCAAAATTCCCCGCTGGAGATTCGTAAAATGCGCACTGCCGATGATTCCCAATAATGATGAAACAGTTGTAGTGTTTCTCGTTTTTTTCAGCGCACATTCACCCATGAGATGAAATTTGCGTCAAGAAGGGGCATTTGTTTTAATGCGTTACACGTTATTCCCCGCAGTCCATGGAATCTACTTGCGAACGAAAACTGTCACGGTCATTCACAGGTAGTCATCCTGCTTACTATACTACATCATTTGCCTTCCTGCACCGATGTTGAGGTTTACTTCGACCGCAGCGATTAGTCAATCGACATTTCGTGTGAATGCTCAACAGTGACCTTGGTGAACGTGGTGACGCAATAGGTTGTCCTGTGTGCACGACCGAGGACCTTCCTCCACTGCGAATTACCGGATGGACCCCCACTTTCGTGTAATAAAATCCTGGTTTCGGTAGTGACCAACTGATGTATATACCATCCATATACCGGTGTAGCGGATATACTACTGATGGGGAGGCATGCGAGTAGTATGTTTAGTTCTTGTAAATTCGCTTTGCGTCTCTTGAAAAGGAGACATCTGTTGCAGAATTTGTGGAGTCGCTTTGTAGCATTTGCTTGGATTTGAGCAGTGAATGATCGGAGTCAATAAATGTCCATGAAAGTTCAAGAAGACGCGTTCAAGAGCAGATGGATGTCCAGTTTTTGTAAATAAGATGCAAATGAGAGTTTCGCTTCCCTGTCCAAGCGAGGGCCTTTTTCCTTTCACCAGTATTCGTCCATTTAGCAGGTTGTTGGAAGGACAGTCAAATACAGAACCGTCATTCTGAACCTTCTCGTTTGCGCTGTAGCTGTTTCCTAATTGCATGCAAAAACTTACGCGACTTTCAATCTCAGTTACACATTGCACCCAACGCACATGTTGAAACCGTGTAGCCATTTATCTTACACAGTGTAGTGTTACCGAAAAAGCCGATCAGAGTGATCATGCCCACAGTAAACGCCACAGGATGTCCGCTGAGGCTATCAAATTCGTAATCAGGCTGAGCGAGCCTCTAAGTTATGTGGAGCTGTTTGGTAACACTATAAGTAATCACTATTCGACGCCAAAACTTTAGGGAACATCGACGACCTTCACGTTTCAAACATTTGCTATATGTTAGTAAGGTCCTTATTAAATACTCGTCCATCAACGAGCTTGACCGTTGATGGAGAGTCGAAAGGTTCGTTGATATTCTGGAACCACTTTATGTAAGTCTTGAATTGTGCAATGCCATTTTAGTAAGATCTACTGTCATGATAAAAAAGTGGCTGCTGTCGTCTGTCTGTCAGACTTCACCTGTCTGTCTGTCTGCCTGTCTGTCTGTCTTTCAGTGACTTGATCAGATCTGCTCTCCGCCTGATAGGGTTCTAATTTCCCACACTGGGATAAACTCCTGACATCCGGCTTTCTCTGACGTTGTACTCACACGACAACTCCATCGGTTAAAGCTGGAGTGGTGACCTGAATCGTCTCGGAGCTCAGGACCTTGCGAGGCAGTGATCAGATGGTTTTGATGGAGGTACGAGCGGAACCTAGCGTTGCATAAATGGACAAGTTACATACAACTTACGGACTAGCGCTTCGTGGCTCTCATCATCGTCCTTGATTGCAGTATGAGAAAGGTGGCCATAGCTGCGCACTGAACAATGTCCTGTTGGCGTAACAGATGAGGGAAGTAGAGTAGATGAATATCATACTGGTACTGTAGGTACATATGTGGGCGCCCAAGCTGGTTGGGGAAATCAATAATCAGTAGTTTGGTAGCCGGCGTGCGTGCCGCTCGCACCACACATTTATGCGGGTTAGAGGAGTAAGAACTAGTCTAAGAACTCGAGAAATACATTCATTTGCAAATCAGATTGGTTTTCACGAGAGACTCAACTGGATCTCTCGTTTATGATATTCAGTTGAGTCTCTGGTGAAAACCAAATTGAGTTGTATTTCTCGAAAACGGTCCAATTTGGGTTCAAGTAGAACATAAGGTTGACGGAAACTCTGGGACTGCGCCTACTTGATGAGCCCCAAGAAGCGCGAAACCGGTCGTTGGCTGTCGCAGAGTTTTCAGCAACCTTGTGAGTAGTTTCCTTTATGAAAATAGCCTAAGAACCATTCTCCATCCACTGCATATTTTCGTAGAAAAGCTGTGTTGAACTGCGCCTTTTCATAGGCTTTGAGACTACAGGTTTTAAGCTTATATGGAAGAAATGTGTATTATATAAACCACGGAATGGAGAAAAACCCAATTTCGAGCGTATGAAGAGAAATCCAGTTTTGTCTCCTCTACACAAACTACTGAAATTTTGTAATTATGATGGGCGAACTGTTGTGCCAGTGATCTCACGTTCACCATAACTAGCAGGTCCAGTTTAGTCAGGCTGGGTGAACAGATCCAGAGAGAGAATAGTTTTTCTGAACACTGTCATAGGCAGTATTATCTTCTGTTTTAAAATGGCCAGGTCACCCGTCAGATGAATTCTGGTCAGAAAGCCACATGTCTACAATGAAAACACCACTTTGACTTACTCTCTGTAGCTGCAGTTTGAGGGCATATTCTGAAAAGACCTTCAGATCTTCGCTGACATAGAAATTTGTTGTTCAATAACAGCGGGCAATCGGGCTCGTAGACAACAATCTCTTGCCAGGATATTGCTCCGATTGTGGTTCCCACGGCAAGTGATCCCAACAAAATGACGCTTATGCCGCAGTACAGCAATGTGTACTTTGGGCGTTGGAACATAAACTCTTCGATCTCCATTTCACACAAAATTTCGTCGCACTTTCAGGTGGAACTGTGAATCAACGGAAATAGGTAAGTCAAAAGGTCGTTCAGCAAGCAGTCAAGTGTTGCGAAAGTAAATTGATACACTTAATTTTTATTATAGGATGGAAGCTAGTTGTCACTAGTTTTTACCCAGGGGCTCCAAAACGACGAGATGTATTGTGGTGTTATACTTCAAGGAATTTGTTGCATCAATGAATTTTGGTAGCTGTGACTGAGAATTTTATGTGCAGCGCCCCGCTCCTAAAGAAATTCACAGTGGCAAGATGACATAGTGGTTAGAGCGCTGATTTATTGACAGGATTCGTGGTTCGAATCCGACTTCGTCTGTCTAGACTTGGGAAACATGGAAGTATCCCAGCCCTCGTGCTTCCCTCCGGTGGCATAGCAGCTAGGCACCGGGAGGGTGTTACAGTTGAACAATGGAAACTCACTAACAATTTTTTTGGAGCCGTGCATATGCTCCCTCCTTAGTAAAAGTTTTGAAAATCCATGCTAGCTAATGATTAAATCGGTCCTAGATCGGTATATGGATCGTGAAAATGTCATAAATAAACACCTTGTACCACAAGTTTATGAACGTTTCGACACGAAAACTAATTCAAGATGAAGTCTCATTGCGATCTTTTCCTTATATGGCTGAAAAAACATTTTCTAGACTAGGCAGACACTAATGGAAACTAAGAGAAATGTGGGTACAGATGTACAAGCTTTTGAATAATCGAATGTATTCCCATTAGTGCCAATAAAATCGCCTAACGGGTTGGCTCCTCAATACAGCCGTTCAAAGAGTCGGCGTGCGACCAAAGTGATATCGAAGCGATCTATCTACTCATAAGGACCGCAATTGTATGCCGCTAATTTCATATAGGTCTGACATAGCCTGTGCTGCCGGGTACAACACCACTGATTCAATGTGCATTCGGTCAACAGATTCCTTGTGTACTGAATGGTACTTTGTAATGTAATACATGATTCTCGAGCTTATATAACGCTATTCGTGAATGTACTCAGTCCTGAGTGTGAAGCGAAGTAGTTGGCAGTGGAATATAAAAGCCAATACCGGCAAATTCAGTTGCGCTGGTCACTGCCGTCTTCCTGGATGGGGACTCAGAGACGGACCATATCAATGGTTAGAGACATTGTCAGACATAGCCCAGTCGCACCCTCAATAGCGTTCATGCATCCAAGCTATTGCTTTCAATGCATGGCTCCCTTCCCAACCCTCCCCCACTTAACAGTCCACCTACAGTGCTGTATTTACGCCCTAAGTTATCAGCTCCCGCCTTCAATGTGCAGCTACCCACCCCACCTCTCCGAATCATCGGTGAACGAAACTGTTGCAGCTACAACCACTGTACGACAAGTACGCGGTTATTACAGCTGATGATGATGATGAGTTGTAGCTGAAAGTGTCCGCTTGGTTGATAAGATACACTTTCCAAAAATGTACTACATGGACCGCTCAACTGGTATTTACACAGAGGTTGGTGCTACATCCTTGTGGTCTAATTCCTCACAGCGCCGCTTCATTGAATGCGTGTCACGCCTTGTCAAGTCACACAGTGGGTTGTTTCAACTACGGTCTTTTGTGGGCACACGCTGGATTATTAATGTTCTTTTATTAGCTTTCCAGCTTCCAATACTTTAGTAGTTCACGACTTTCCATCTGGCCGCATGCCCACGCCACTTTCAGTTGTCTGTCGGTATATGTTAACTGTGCCCTACTGTATCACGCGGCCTTCAGAGGAAACTTTTTCGCGTTGTCAGGTCTTGCCAAAGTGCGCCTGATCCCAAAGGTCACAAAAGCCCAGCTGATCTGGGACTTCATCCACGGGGGTGTTGTGACGTCGACCTCTGGTCCATAACTTCCGGAGGACAGCATTTGCCGGTTGCTTCAGTGAGCAGTAATCTGTTTGGTCGACCAGCGGCTCGACAGGCTCGAACGTGATGTACACCAGAAACAAAAATAGAGCGTTTCAAATACTCGGACGTGTGATGCCCTTTCATGTACATTCCATTGGCTCTGGTCAGTGCAAAAGCCGATGAAAGTTGCAACCAGATGACACGACGCAAGGTCTCCGTTACATCCCGATGTTGAGTAGCCTAGATATTTTTCGGTGAACAGTGTAGTCTACAGGTGTCTGTTACATGACATAATCGTGTAAGTTTAAACACTTATAGTATGGATAATTGCTAGTCAGGATGCTATTTGTATGGTCAAGGGAAAATTCAACAGTCAGTTATCGGCTTCGCTATTCTAGAGATAAGCGGGCAGATGTGGTTCCTGTTACTAACCCAAGTGGTGAACCAAAGACTCCTACCAGTGGGCGAGATTTGTTGATGCAAAATGGTGATCGATATCACTCGGCTATCGACCATCCTCTCAAGTGGACTTCTACGGTTGTTACACGAGGTATTAGCAGTTTGGAGCTGTCGGTTATCCGGCTCCGCACTAAGACAACCCAACTTTGGTCACCAGAAACGTGACATGGTAGAGCTGGCCCAGTCAAGACCAACCAGTCTCTTCGGTTCTTTAGGACCAAAGCTTGTACAACCATAAGGTTGACAATCACATTTAACTTGAGTTGACCACTGTTCTGAGTTCGCTTTGAGCGGTGCAATGAGCACGAGTCAGATGAAGCTGGTCCGTTCATTTTGAAAGCTTTCTTCACTTTCGTGGTCTGACCTAAACATGTCCAACCCAGGAATTAAATTCCCCGCTGTCTAGTTTCTCACCAAGCCGTATTCTTCCAGCAGATAAGGAAGATTCCTTCCGATGTTTACGCGGCCGTTCGTTTTGTCTACAGTAACTTGACGTGACGAGCGCAGTTATAAGGTGAGGATCTGAAACACAACATTCAGTCTTTCACACACCTCGCCACTTGAACTGCATTTCTCAAAATCCCAGTACTATGCAAATCTGGAACAACTTGACATGGGAGTAGTAAACAAGAGCACAATATTCCCAACAAATTTTGAGCTCCTACTGCAAATATTCGTCCCGCAAAATACTGCACAAGACGTTCAGCGTCTCGGTTCCGTCCATCACAAACCCGGTGTTCCCACACTTTCCCACAGCAATGACTAGAGTACAGTCTACACAACCATAAGATTCACACAATCGGAACAATAAGTCATCGGTTATTCTTACCAGATACTTACCAGATACTCGTTAATAACGAGTGACCACAATATTCAATGCAGCTTCGTTAAGACAAGATTACTATTATAGATAAGCAATCACAAACGCGGGCGTACAATCCATGCATTCATTGGTGTGATTCGCAGACATTGATTTGCATTCCATCGGATTTTGCTCGAAGTGAACCAGGTAAAACTGCACTGGTGAGCAGCAGAGTTAGAGGTAGACAATTTATGTGCCCATCGGAGCGCTCGGTGTGTGTAGATGTTCGTGCGAATACATGTGTGCATGCCATGCTACATCGTACTCACAATCACAATAGAGGTTTTGTGATATATGGAGAACCGAAAACTCTGCTGAACAGGTTGACACCGTGAAACAAACATTTGTAGTCTGAGATGAGTAGGTTGGACTGCTCAAATCACAGGTCCTTTTCCAGCTCAGCTTTAGCCCGGCGAGTTTGGAAGAGCGAAGTTTGAGACGGAGAGTAATTAGACCCAGTTCAGTTTAGTGAAGACAATTTAAAATGGGTTTTCAGTGGGACGTAAGTGTGTGGTGTGTCTTCACCACTCCTCAGTCGGGAGCAATCACACTGTTTTTAACTTGAAGATTATACCTGAAACAAAGTAAGAATAAAACAAGACTATAATATATCTAGCTTGCAACAACTATAAGCTTTAAGCGCTTTCCTCTACCGCCAAATACATGTGATCTCACGTTTTCTTTTGAAAAATGACGAACGCTCTCCTTCACATCGGAAAAACTATTAATTGCTCTCATTTGCAAACTAATTTGGTTTTTCGAGAGACTCAACTGGAACCCAGCTGAATATCTCGTTTGTGATGTTTTCAGGTGAAAACATTTGTGGGCTATCGACGGACTTTCAGCAACCTTATGAGTAGTACACCACAAAGATATTATTGCTCTGTCTTGGTTTCTCTGCATGAGCCTTCTAATCAAATTGCTGTTCATTCCTTCGCGATACCTAACATCGACCTAGGACGTGCGCGTGTCCCAAAGAGTCACTGTCAAGAAGGTCAGATCCCTGAAGATAATTCCAGAATGTCAGAAACCTACTGAAACGCTCAAGTCCCACCAAATTTCTAATGGGAAGCCTGAAGGCCAGCCAATCAGTCAATCTATTCAACAAAGCCCGATGAGTGTTCAGGCATGTCATAGAAGCACGGTCGATGATGATGAGTGTTCACTAAGCGCTGTTTAGACAGCCTGCATGGATATCAAAAGTACCCTTTAAGTAGCTGGAGGCCCCTTGTGACTTTTGTACCCGCTTCTTCGCAATAAAGTTGTTGTATTTCTTGTTGGCGAGTCTTTTTCCGGACACCAAATCTTTGGAGCGGCGACAGCAGTTAGTTACAACAGATTTTGAGCTAGATATAACATTTACATATTGCACTCTACACTGATTTAACTCCTGCATTTGATTGACTCTGCGAACCGCTATCATTTGCCCACTAGTTTGGTTCTAACTGGAAACTAAATTGGATGCAGATGAATCGCTTGTCTAGGATATTTTTCTTCAACTGTATGTGCTGCCCAAGACAGTCCCATTCCAGATATCGCAATACATTGCTTAGAAGGAACATACTACTCATGAGGTGGCTGGTATGTGAACCCTGGTTCCGTAAAAGGTTATTTTGACCTCAGTGGTCGCTTGAAAAATGATTTTGTCAGTCCTTAGAGGATGTTTTCCCAACGAAGTTAATTCCACTATTAAGAATTGCGCTTTTCTAAAACGCCGTTCGTTTCTACGTGACTATATTTCGTGCGAGAATTGTAATACGGATCCTCAGTTAGGTTTTTTTTTCAATGACATTAGTTTAACATGTACAGAAAGCTTGAGGTTGGAGCTTAAATGGAAACCATCCCACTGAGTAGCCCATCGAGCCTAACCGCAGCGGATATTTTATTAGGAATGGATGAAAGCTTTTTTGTGTTTTATATTGGCGACGATTTTATCCTCACTAATATGGAAAACTCTGCTGACTTTTACAGCGCTATTCAGTCCTCTCATTCGGCCAGCTGTATAACGAGATTCGTTGCTTAGGTATATTTGTAGATGGGTGCGCTGACCGCTTGGTATAAGCATGCGTTTTTTTCGGATAAGCCGACAAGTTCCTCCAGATTTTCACAGATTTCTGAAAAACGAAATTTAGTCGGCCAGCTAGTTTACAGAGAAAGAAAAATGTGAATAATGCAAGCTGAAAGAAGAAGATAGGGTACTTAACGGTATCCGGAGCATATTATCAAAATTCGCAGTGTCCACAGACCCCCAAAAGCCCACCATAGGTCATGATGACAAAATGAAATAAGCCCACCTATTTTTCCGACATTAAGTGAGCCACTTAGCGAACGACACTTGCTGTCCAAGAGTTTTCAGGACACTTGTGGATAGTTTCGTTTATGAAAATACGCTTCAAAGCACTCCATTCTCCCTTCCAATGATCCAATCCTCACGCTGAATTTGTAAGCCAACTTGCACACGCGCGCCCTGGTGGCCGTCGCACAAACCAAGGCATGCGAAACAATCGACGTCGGTCTACACCGGGGGTTGGGGGTGTGACGGGGCTCGTTCCCCCCTGCATTTGTCAAAGCGCCAGTGAAACTGTCATAAGTCACGTGCGGTCGCCTGAAGTATGTGATACAGACTTATCGGCTGGGCTGGACCAGGCGGTATTCCAACTTAGAGGTGAAAGTGCACCGACAAGAACGATTGGCGAAAGCGACGGAAGACCACCACCCCGAAGGACGATGGCTACCAGTGGCTATTGTGTGCAGACATGATAACCAACTTGCAACTTCCACTATGGTAACGACCAGGAGTTAGCCTTGAAACCAGTGAGCAACACATGAGCCGAGGTCGAGCCGACTTATAGCAGGTTTGTGTGCGATCAGCGCTTCAGTCACAAACGAATCGGTCGAAATCTGTCGTCATCACAGTGAAAAGGCTATTAGATATCCGTAGTCTTCATTTTATCACGAATATAAAGAAACTTGTAGCCTAAGCGTAAGTTTACCGTCCGCAGACTCCTCGCGCTCACATTTTAATTACACTTCGTTCATCATCATCTTTTAAGTAAAAGGGAACCATGGCACACTTTCCTAAGGGTACGGCCAATGAAATGATGATAAATAAGCCGGCTCATATTTGGACAACTAGTAGGCTCGATTTCGGGGAAAACAGTCACAACCCCCCGTGAGTCTCGGGCACAACGGAACGCATAGCCGATTGAGCTTTCCGGGAAAGACAAGACGGAGCTGATTAAAAAGCAGTGGCCAAAGCAATACGACTCCTTAACAATGTGGAGGGATTGATACGAAAACTTTCTAGCGTACTCACCCTACTGGCAACGTCAAGGTGGCAGCTTTAGGTCGGGTACTGGCACTACAGTTCTTCGGCTTTACTTCTCCCAAAAGTGCATAAGCCTGGCCTGCCTCTCAGACCCAGTCTGGATATGTCTAGTTACCCTTAGCATGGATTGGCTAAACGGGTGGTCGGTCTACCAGAAGCACTCAGGATCCCTCCTGAGCTTATACCAACCCGAGAGAGAGAGTTTTGAATTTTCTTACCAGACTGGAGATCTGGACGTTGATAAACATCCTATATTCTCCCTGGATGTCTTGTCATTGTTTATTAATGTACCTCTCAAGGAGGCAGTAAACATCTTTGATGACTTACTTGAGTGCAATGACGAAGATATTAGCATTTCTATCCAGACCCTAGAAAGGACTGGTGCTAATTTGTGCGCACAAAGTTTTTAACAGTCAGATCTTTGGATAGACGGACTGGGTCCTAATGAGGTCTTCTTTAGGTCTTCAGTTAAATTTGATGGCTCAGAGGGACCTAATTTCGTCGCCACCGCCCTTCTGCACTCACCACTGACGACTGGTGCGCCCCAGAAGCTAAAATCCATTCAACAGTATGGGTGACTCTGGTTGATGACTAAGATCATTCAAACAACGGGTGTACAAATCAGCGAATGAATGAGTCCATAATGGTGGCATATACGGAGACAAAGAGAGAAATAGCTACATAACCAATGTGATGAACCTTTTTCTGAAGACAGTGTGACAGTTGGTCACAACATTGGGTCCACAGCTGAGTCAACATATGTGCTTGGCGTCTCCATTGATGGCAAGACACGTGATTCAGGTGAGTTATGAAGCGGACCATTTTGCGTGTGGTGACTTCATTCCGTCTAACCATCGGTAAGGCATTATCAGTCTGACAGTTCAAATGGCCGAGATACCAGTGAAAGGATGAAGGCCTTCGCTGCTTAGTTGTTTGCCAGGGAAACACCAACTGAACAGTTACAGACTATTGACAGGCGAGGAAGCAATACTCTCACATGCATCTTGTTTACAAAAACTGAATATCCATTTTCTCTTTGAACGCGTCTTCCTGAATTTTCCTGGATATTCATTGAACGTTGCTCAAATCCGAGCAAATGCTACAAAGCGACTCCACGAATTCCGTAATAGATCTCACTTTTCAAGAGATGCAAAGTGGATTTATGGGAAAACATACTGCTCGCATGCCCCCCAATCAGTGGTATCACCGTTACACCAGAAAACAAATGATATTAAGTCGCCTAAGAAACATTTTAATAATCTATTTACACAGTTTCTAGATGCAGAAATGAGGTGACTCCGAACAATAAACCGTAACTACGGGCCAGATTCTGTGGCACAAAGATCATTGTTCACAGTTAATCCAAGTTCCACAGGTTTTATTTTACTTTCGCTTGCTCTGGTAAGCTCACCTTTTTATGTGAGTTGGAGACAAAAATCGGTTTCAAGATACCATCCAGTGACCGCACGCAAAATTATGTAGGTATAGGATCATCAGTACTGCGGCAACAGCACTGTCAACACGATCTACGTTTATCTGTGTTAGGTCATTGCCATAGCGACTGATTTCAGGCACGTTGCGCGACGGCTGGCCTCATAAAAGGGCCTTACCAACAGGGCCTTACCAACAGGGTCGATGTACGACTGCAGCACCCAAAAACATCCATACTGAGACTCTAACTAACCCCCCCAATTTTACCTATCTTTTTCGAATTCGAATAGTAAATCCACCGAATTTTTCTGAAAACACTCAGCATCGGCGTGCACGGCAGTACAACACTAGAGGAAGCCGATCCAAGATTGTCACGCAACCATGGATGATGAAATTCCCAGTAAAGTGCGGAAAGAAGGAGCATGGGTGAGGACGACTAATGTAGTCAAATTGTGCTGTGTAAAGTTAGTACATGTACCAGCAACGTTCGCCATCTTGCGTCGCTGAGGTTAGAGGGTCCTGTCTACCAGACGACTTTGAAGGTAATCCTACTATATGTCGGTGGAAGCTTGCCTCCTTCGATCTGAGGACCTCAAAGGTTTTCAGATATTTGATCATAGCTGTTTCAGTGGCACAGCGGGCCGGCTGCTGTAAGTACGTAATGAAACGATCCGTAAGCGAATGCTAGGTACTGAGTCGGGTTCGCTTGAGCAACGGAAAAATAAGGATTGTCAGGTTAAAGTGGTTTGGACAAACACTAAACATTTTAACCAGCTACCAAAGGAAGCCTTGCTTTCCATCTTTATTGACGAAACGTTGGCAGAGTACATGCCTGAAAGAAGAATGTCCGTATGCTGCTCGAACTTGAATGAAGATCATCGGCGAGCTGATATTGTGGAATTCTGTACATCTGACAACCGGGGTGATGTTAACTTCAGACGTGTGCATCATAACATCTGTTCGGGTTGTAAACGTGTTTCCTACAGTAGGCTAAAGTGTGTTGCAGTCACTATTTTATCCATCATATTTCAAAGCCATGCTTTGTTTGCCTCTTTACTGACATCACTTCGAATCAAGCCCCAAGAAGGGCGAAACCGGTCGTGAACTGTCGAAAGGTTTTCAGCAAACTTGTGAGTAGTTTCCTTTATGAAAATATACTGCGATATCTCGAATATCGTGCCAACTGAATCATGAGGCGGCCTGTGTGCAGCACATTCAGTTGTAGAATATCATAAACGAGGGATTCAGTTGGGTCTCTTGTGAAAACCAAATTGATTTGCAAATGAGTATATTCCTCGAAAGTACATCCTACTCCATAGACATTGAGCTGGTCCTAACAAACATCGATTCAAGTGCCGCACGTGTCCCACGTTGATAGTATCGCGCAAATGCATAGTAGCAGTGAGTACTGTGCAGTACGGCCGTGACCTAGTGACACCCGGGTTTTGAAGATTTTGGGTTGAACCATGTGTTGTGACTTTGAACGGCTCTTGTAGGCCGGTAGCCGGATCTTTTGCAGATAAGCCCGCCAAAAATTAACCCACACTACCCAAAAAAGCTTAGGAAAAAGAGGATATGAAATTTCTACTTTTAGTTTTTATTGAAAAAGGTGAAATTGGAACATGTCGTTGATAATTTGCATAAAAAGGTCCGCTTTTCGGTACCTTTGCCTACAAACGAGCTCACACTAGTAGCTATCCACCAAGGATCGGTGTGTTGCGCATTGGCGTTTATTCTGCACGTGCCAAAGAGATTCGATGGTATGTGTGTGAGCTCCAGTCGTTGGAACCAAAACGTTTTCGGTATGATTAATCGTTTCGTGAGTATAATTCATGCCAATCATCGTTTCAATCCCTTTGTAAGATGCCCACATATCGGAGATGATGATTGAGCCGGGAGGGATGCAGACATGGATTGTGTCCATCAAAGTGGCCGCAGTTCGATCTGGCACTGCCTACATGAACACTCCTTTAGTTTTCCGACGGATCCCTCCGAAAATCCATTGCTGGGGAAGGACTCGCCCTGCGTGTTTTTTACGGCGAAATATTAGCGTTTCATCGATCTCGACGTGTAGACCTGGGCCTCCGATAACTGTTGGAGTACGCAAATACCGCTAGGCGCAAAATTCATGAAGAAAGTCCTTCCAGCCAGCAGCGGTCATGTGGCTAATGGACGATTCCTCTGAGCAGAATTTGATTTTTGCCAAATTTTTGGACCAGCAATAAGCGAATAGAACTACTATCCTAAACTCCATCCTAGACCGCTCCAACCAAGTTCCCTTTCGAGGACCGATTTCTTGTCGACACTGTCGGGCATTACACCTCCACCTGGCAGAAACAGTTGAAAGTGTCATTTGGTGGCCATTGTTGCATAAACGTTGCTGGTGGATCCCTCCGTGGCTTTGCAAAAAGCGTATTGCCATCTCCTTGTCATGAACGAGAGTTGAGAGCGTCAGAAAGTTCATTTAAGGTTTTACGTCCGAATGGAGAAAATTTTTGCACAAAATGAGCCTAGATGCGGACAAAGAATTGTTTTCATCAAAAATAGGTGAAGGTTGTGTGCACACACATTAGATTGGAGCTGGCAAAAAGTGGCGGGGCCTACCTGGAAAAGATCCCAGTAGCCTAGGTTCGAAAATGCGACTTCATTCAGTGAAGTAGTCTTTTGCTTTTCCGCTGGTAACTCAGCCCCCGTACAACCACGGGTCATGCAAAACCTACTGAATGAAGCACTGGGCGGAGATCACCCAAGGACAACGGAATCTGACAGGAAACAATGACGTCCTGTTACTGCATCTATTTACTTTTGATCTCTACTTGTTTCGCTCATCTGTACCCACCACTCACCTTGCCGCAAAGGCCGCGCTGTTCGACACTGGCACGTTAGCAATATGTGTGCTTGTGTATGTGTACGCAGCTGACCTATTTACCCATGCGTGTTCGTGCCTTACTTGCCGAGCCTGTCCTGCCTGCTGAGACTGCCCGGACTTGCTACCACATGGTTTTCGTCTAACCTCACCGTCAATCTTTTTCTCGAGCGAACATTGGGAAGCTTGCTTGAGGACGATAGGACCAGATCTCATGGAGCAACTCACCGTCAATCAGAATCACCAGACCGTCCTGGGATGGGACGGCCGCAACCCACACAACCGAGCCAGCATTCCACTCGCCATTGTTTGGTTTGCGGACTTTGACACAGTGGTCAGTGACAGACTTGTGAACTTGTTGACGCCATGAACGTGAACATTTGGTTTTTTTTCGTACAACCATGCTTTCCTTTGAGTGAATGGTACCGTAGACTTTCGAACTCAATTCTTCCTTTCGATATTCAGGATTGTCGAACCTACGTGTAACTCTGAGTTCCGTATGGGGAGCCCCAACAGCCTTACTAACAGTTGAGGCTTTCAGGTTGGCTGCCTCAGGGAACTACACAGTGTATAGAAAAACGAAAAGCCAAGAAAAGGCCGCGTGCTGAGTGCCGTTTCTGTATCGTAGAATTCGCCTGCAACTAGGTTCTATCCGTGAGTACAGTTTTTCAGATAACTATCCATCTAAATATTCGCTCCAGCTATTGTCTAGGGTTTAAAGTCTTTGGTTCGCAGCTTTGCACATTTGATAACTAGGCAAGGGGTCCTGTCTTACAGTATTTACACAACACGCACGTACTATAGAGGAAGACTGCATATATTGTTTCGGAACGGATATAGAGGAGACAAAATTCTTGTATCCAAGGTTTGATAGCCTTTTTTGTTTTTAATGATTTTATGGAGCTAATCAACTCATTCAGTCAAACATCGCAGTACAATTTTATGTGACTTGGAAGAACTTTGATTAAATTCAGGAATAAGTATAACACTTAGAGAATCCTTACAAAATTTCGAGACCTGCATAGAAACTCATATTCGTCTCGAACGTTCGTCGGCTGATGGTTCGTTAGCGGTAGGCTACGGGGGCCATTGAGGTTTGTTCAGTAAATCTGTGCCAGAGGCAGTGAAGCGGTGGTGAATCGTTTACACATTAATGTTTCTCCGCAAACTTAGAAGAATTTTTATTTTACCAACTGATACTTCCTGACTTGCAAGTTTTTTCACTGTGCCTGGTTGGAGACACTACAAGATATGGCTGCCAACCGATGTCAGTGGCGTTCTTGTTGTCAGTTTCTGTCCAGATTGCCTGAGTGAATGTCTGGAGGTGTAGGCACCTCGGAATGATTGTGTTAAGCTAACACTAAGTCCCTTCCCCGTGCACCTCTACTCTTCTCTTTACAATAAGGCTTTCAAATAAGTCATGGTTTTACGGCAGTGAAGCATTGGTGTTGAGCACTGATGTCATGCTGTCGTTGATGATGATGATGATGAAAGTCTTTGGCTATATTCTTTCGATGAAGAAAGCTGCGGTACCTGGAAGTAGTATCGCTTGTACGCAGCTTATAGCCGAGCGTTTCATCTGAAGGGAACTTGAACCTTTCCGCACCCCAAGTAAGAAATCCACCGATTGATATATGTAGACTTTTATTCGTGCCCGTACAACACACTTTAGTAGTGTGAGGCAAGAGGTAACATGCTGCGTTTTTTATGCAACATAGACAACAAGCACACTCCCGTTCGGAGGCGCCTCAACAGCGAACAGGCAATGGGCTTGTTTATGCCGTCGGATGGATAGAAGGGAACATCAGTGCTTCAGTTTGAAAGGGTTGAGGGTGTCAAACACACATACAGGGTTTGTATGAGAGGTCTGATAACTACAGACTATCATTGTCGCATAAAACCATGAATCTCAACCATATGAAAGAAATGTCCTACTCCATCTCTTTGTCGTCCACTTGAACGGTTTCCGCACCCACTTCTTCATAATCTTTTTCCAGGGCGGCCAGGTCCTCGCGAGCCTCACTGAATTCGCCTTCTTCCATGCCTTCACCGACATACCAGTGGACAAAAGCGTGTTTCGCGTACATCATATCAAATTTGTGAGTCAGACGAGCCCAGGCTTCGGCTACTGCGGTTGTATTGCTTAGCATGCACGCCGCACGGTTGACTTGTGCCAAATCTCCACCGGGCACGACTGTGGGTGGCTGATAATTGATCCCAATCTTGAAGCCTGTAGGGCACCAATCAACAAACTGGATGGTGCGTTTGGATTTGATTGAGCTTACTGCATCGTTCACGTCTTTGGGAATTACATCACCTCGGTACAGCAGACAGCAAGCCATATATTTGCCATGACGTGGGTCACATTTGACCATTTGGTTTGCTGGCTCAAAGCACGCATTGGTCAGTTCCGCAACGGACATTTGTTCGTGGTATGCCTTATCGGCTGAGATCGTAGGCGCGTAGGTGACCAGAGGGAAATGAATGCGAGGATAAGGGACAAGGTTAGTCTGGAATTCAACCAGATCCACATTTAGAGAACCCTCGAACCGTAATGACGCTGTGAACGAGCTGACAATTTGGCCCACTAATCGGTTGAGATTGGTATACGTGGGACGATCGATACCAAGATTGCGACTGAAACCGTAAAAGGACAAGGTGAGTGGGTGTAGTGGTGTAGTAGTAGTGCAATCAAACAGAGGTCAGGAACACAGTGTAATCTGATAACCACTAATTTCACGTCACCCTATAAGACAGTAGACTTGTTCTTCTCTGGGACCACTGTTCCACTACTGTCCCACCATTACATGTATGCAAGTACTTACATAATGCATATTTCAACCTGATGATAGCTTTTTACACATAGTCTTTCAAACTAAATGTTCCCTAATTCGGAATGCTGAGAAAGTAGAGCAGGTTGCGCATAAATCTGAGGTTGTTTACTTGCAAGTTTATTGTATGAAGATGAAGTCCAAGACCTAGATCAATAACTGGATGAATATTTCCCGATTGATCAAGGCAATTTTGAGGGATGTGGGTCTCTTTGTTGTTGGCCTGTTCGCGGAGTTTGGCAGTTGGACTGCAGTCACCAAGTGAGGTGATATCATCATTGTGGAACGGAGTGGGTCTGGAAAATCTTCTAGCCTCCCACCCAGCTGTCTTCGTCTCTGTTGCATATACATTCCAGGCATTTTGCTATCCAGTGCTTAATGTGATCTAATTTGCCTTTTTCATTCAGATCTCCGTTTAACAATCATATTCTTGTGGTTTTTCCCTGAGCTCCGGTGCTTCTGCACAGCCGCTGAAGAATATGAGATATGAAGGTCTAGGATGGTTTATTTTTTCAGCTGTGTCTCTTGAGCTTACATAAATGATTCTAGCATATACTCACCAGTCAATAGTCCCGTTTAAAGTTTCGAGTGTGCCAGCTGAAGTTATGTCTATTCTCACGCACTCACCAAACCAATGTATTTTCACCCCAATGAATCATGTATGTGGGTGTTGGAAAATGTCATGAGAAAAGATGTAGCTAGTGTGAAATTACGACCACCCGCATGTTGTCCTAACGAACGTCTTACTAGAATGCGTCCGTATCAGTCCACACTGAGTGTGTGAACGTATGGACTTCATACGTTATCGTACATTCAGTAATTAGTGGGGCGAAACGAGGGTACGCTATGTGTGTGTGTGTGTTTGAGTGAAATAAACGAACTCACTGTTAGCTTAAATCACGTTTTTTTAAACGAACGAGATTTTATGAATCCAGCTAATTAGTTTGTCAAGCAACTAGGGTATGACAGAGCAGCAGCTGTACTTTCAGCTGTCACAACACCGGTTATTTATTGACAAGAGGTTTTGATCCGCTAGTATAGCAATTGTGACCTTTTAGACACTCAACCCTGCACTGACGATGTCACCTCGATTGGCGATGAAACATTTGCAATCCAACTGCCAATCTCGGCGAACAGACCAACAACCAAAGAATAATTCAGTTACGTAGGGGTTCCATAAACCACGAAGCACGAAACGTTTTCCTTTTAGCCAGTTCTCACAACACCGGTTATTTATTGACAAGAGGTTTTGATCCGCTAGTATAGCAGTTGTGACCTTTTAGACACTCAACCCTGCACTGACGATGTCACCTCGATTGGCGATGAAACATTTGCAATCCAACTGCCAATCTCGGCGAACAGACCAACAACCAAAGAATAATTCAGTTACGTAGGGGTTCCATAAACCACGAAGCACGAAACGTTTTCCTTTAAGATAGCCAGTTCAACGAACAGGTCATCGGTTATCTACGTGGTATGAGCTGTCAATTTTCTCATCAGCTGCATGGAAAAGTGTGGCCCTTGAGCATACCACTGATCTGCTTCTTAGTTATATCTCACCACTTTGAAACCTACCGGCAAATATCGTAGATGGCCTCGTTGTCAAAAATGAACGAGCAGTCTGAATGTTCCAAAGTGACGTGAGTGTTCATCAGAGCGTTATATGGTTCCACAACAGCTGTGGAAATCTGCGGAGCAGGATATACACAGAATTCTAGTTTCGACTTTTTCCCATAGTCCACGCTTATTTTCTCCATCAATAGCGAGGTAAATCCAGATCCGGTTCCTCCACCGAAAGAATGAAAGATTAGGAATCCTTGCAGTCCCTGACAGTGATCGGCCGTTTTACGGATGTGATCCATTACCGTATCAACAAGGTCCTTGCCTACGGTATAATGTCCCCTGGCGTAGTTATTTGCAGCGTCTTCTTTTCCAGATATCAAGTTGTCTGGGTGGAATAGTTGGCGGTATATTCCGGTACGGATCTCGTCTGTAATCAATAACAAGTTAAAGTGGAACATTTCAGTGATCATCCGTATGACACTACACCAAGTTACATTTGATTACGTAACTGACTGTTGGTGGCTAACCGCAATGAGGCCGACCACGCAGTATGCTGGTTTTTCACAGCTTAGTTTATCAAGATGCATGGGAGGACCGAAGTGTTCTTACAAAGAACAGGGATTCAAAAAATCTAAGTCAAAGTAATTTTGCCTGGCACGTGACCCTTGCCGCTGTCATAAGGTAGTTCCTACCATGGAGGTATAGTTTTAGGTGAGATTGGAATCACGTGACAGACTGTAAAGTGGCGTGCTGTAAAACAGTGAAACGACAGGATAGATTACTAAGTATAGGTATGCAGCGTTTCTTACAACCATGACTAAACAATGCAGGATGTTTCTGTCGCTCAATGGATACGTTGCTCAGTAGCGTGTTTTCAGTGAAAAACTTCAAAGTGTGTCGCTTTTGTTGCTGTAGATTGGGATGACGAACCACCAATTTCGCTTCACGGCATACGGGGGCTTTATTACAAAACTCCCAGAATACATCGTCAACACGAGCTTCCTTTGTGGGATACCCCGGAACAGTTCAAAATATTTGTCGCACACACTGTTTCCTTTTTACCAATTTGACAACAGCCCCTTCAGATCGTAGTGCTGTGGCTGAGGGCATGGCTTGAGTTCTACCCTCTTTGACCGAAGCCATTTCAAGCCATCCACTTCTAGTGGAGTTAAAGTGAAAAAATTGCATCGTGCGGCTCTATAGCTTGCATACTAGTTGGGAATTTCTGCATCAAGTGACTGAATATACCCGTGGTACTCAAGACTGTGGAAGCCGTTAAGCCCAAACCTAGACAATATTGTTTCAGGAAGAAGCCCGTATACATGAGGCTTCCATTCAAAGGTGACTCGGTTGCTGAACTAATCACCAGAAGGCTTAGAAACTCCGTTGATAAGACATACTTGGCCGCTAATTCATGTTTGAGCTTCATCTCCAGCCCCACTATCAAATTCTGCTTGAAGGACAAATTGCCACGTTCTACCACCAGCTTTTGTGTATACTCATTTGTATGATCGTGCCGAGCATCATACTTTGGTCGTACGATAAGGCATTTGTCGGGCAGAATGCGAGAAAACAACCCCGTATCTCGAAGTGAACGTTGGTCGTACGACAATGCATTTGTCGGGCAGAATACGAGAATACAATCCCGTATCTCAAAGTGATAGTGTGAAGAAACAAGGCTCAAGCGCGATTGAATCACATTTGGCCGAAACCTGTCATGTCATAGACAAGGAGCAAGTCTTCACCATCGTATACCGGGTACCTGTGAACCGATCATGACTGGTACGATCCAAAATACTATCAATCGCAGGGGCGATTGGAATCCCACTGCTGGATCCGCAACTTTGCATCCAAAAGAAACTTGTGCGATCTATGAACTTGAACTGACCTAGGAAACATCCGTGATTCCGTGACTCATTGACCTATCCCTCAACCAACCCCCTTCCTTTGACTTCTATTTCCCTAAAGTGTACTTAGCCCCGACTTTAACCTTTTCCACGGGATTTCGGCTGCAATATAAATCTGTGATATATTAGCCAAGAGGAACAATCACAGAAAACAAGCTTTGTTCGCTACCTTCTTCGTTCACAATTTCTGCATCGGCCAGTCATCCAGTTGCTCGACGAATTTGTCTGTATTCTTACCCCAGAAGTAAAGTGTCCCGCTCATATTCTGTGGTCTTACTCCAGATGCATGAAGGTCACGCACTAACATAGTGCATCAGTTGGGTTATTTCATTCGTTTTGCATGCGTGAAAATTGCAAAGCATACAGCAGGCAGAAAGCTACGTTAAACCAACACGAATACCGCAGACAACTTTGGCACCGCTAAGTTGGACGGGTTATCTCGTTAATTTTGCCTGAGACTTGGAAGTCTTCTGTCGGGGGTGATTTGTTGAGTACGCTTTCTCTCTGGTAAATAAAACTACTCACATGGTTGCTGATAAATTTTTGACAGCCCCTTCTTGGGGTGGGCGCAGCCCTCGGGTTTCCGTCAACCTTATGTTCTACCTGAACCTAAATAGGATGGACTTCGACAAACACTTCGGCGACCTTGCAAGTAGTTTTCTTTTGTGAAAATATACTATAGCATCTGGAATATCAAACCAACTGAAACATGAAGTAGTCTTTGTGCAGCACATTCGGTTGAAGGATATCACAAACGAGTGAGAACCAAATTGATATGCAAATGCATTCACTTGCCGATTACTCTCCACTGCTTTACTTGCTGGTGTCCCGAAAGTTAGCTGAAACAGGGATCACCAAACTGAAGTCTGAATTCAAATATCCATTTTTGATAATTTCAACCGAATGTGCATAGTTATAATCCGCGACATACGTGGAGCCGGCTGAGTCCAAACTCATAAGCCGCTCATAGTGAATGGACGTCGCACTACCTTAGTTGTGATGGTCCGATTACCCAGCAATCACCTCCCCCATTCGTTTGTCAGACATGGAATGCGAAGCCTTCGTTCGTTTTCGACATTTTTGTGCTTTCATCACTACTCAACTGGATTCATCCAGACTAAACAGTGGAATGTGTGGAATACGGCACATCATACATGCGTTCTACAGACGGTCTTCTTAGTTTGATTGATTTTATTTAGCCTACCAAAACATTCGGTTTTAGTAGTCTGTATAAAGAAGATCGCGCTTTTCTGTGACGGACGGTCGGGGATTTTGAACACAACCGCATACATATTCCACTGATCACGTTGCAATCCGGCTAAACCTGAAAAATGGATCCTGACTCAACTTACCAATAACACTGGGTTCCAGATCCACAAATAGTGCGCGTGGGACGTGTTTTCCCTGCACGGTTTCACTGAAGAAAGTGCTCAATTGAAGTGAATCCTCTTCCAGCATTGGATGAAGTCCGGCGTATGATAACTGGCCATCCGCAGGTAGCCCGTGTTCAAGGCAATACAATTCCCAACAGGCGTTACCCATCTGGACACCGGCTTGGCCGATATGTATACTGATGCATTCTCGCTAGCAAAAGGATTAAAGGGAATTCAAATTAACGCAACCTCTACGCAGACGCCCAAAATCACATTTTGCGAGAGCAAACAATTTAAAAGTTCTAGGATGATGAAGAGTGTGGGTGGTAGCTTAGTTTGTTCGGTTGATGCTCGAGTCCATTCACCAGCAACCTTGCGATAAGTGTTTCATCACTCAGCACGTTTTTATGTAACGGCGTGGAACTTAAGCCGGTAGGTGGACAGCGGGACCGCAAAAAGCAGCTACGGTCCGAGAGGAATCTGGCTATTAACTATGTTGATGATACCGATGAAACGCAAATCAATGCTTCACTTATTGTACCATGGACTCTCCATTTTTGTTGGAGCAGGATACAAGTTTGGCGAACTGGAATCATGTCTAGCTCTAAACCTGGTTACGCTTCCGCGATATGACTTAACATCCTTCGGCTAGCCAGACTGAATTACCCAAGGTACTATATTGTCTGATGGTAAAAAAAACTGGGTTCACTTTGAGTCTTTGGAAGGAATCAGAAGAAAAACCGACCGATTCTGTGACAGTTCAGGCTGTAATGTTGCGCACATATATCGGCCTTTCAGAGAAATTTCGCTTTCTGGGGAGCCTGGAGTTCCATCACGGGGCGGACAACTTTCTTGGGTTTAGCTTCATGAACTCTTCTTTCCGACCTTCGTTTTGACTTCGGCGCCACATCAGAAATGACCCCAAGTTTTGACGAGATGGTACGTTTTGCATGATACATTATGTAGTTAATTACTCCGGCTTATTAGTTTTTCCACATACTTACACGCTAATGATAAAAAAGTTCAATTATACTGGATTTCCGGGCGCCGGAGTAGGCCTGAATATCCTCACATAAGTCTCGTGATAGTACATCGTAGATTACTACTCACTAGTACCCACATGTTAGGCCGTTAATAGATGAAAGGTAAAACTGTGCAAAGCTCAGAGAAAATTGAACAGGGGAAGCCAAATCCCTCAGATAGACACCGAAACCACATACATTCAATTCCAAAAAGCGACTACTCCTCACTGATTAGCATCACAGCATGGTAGTCCCGGTCAGACACTTTACAGGCTAAAACACAGTCTGTCTTACAGGGTTGTTTCCACTGAAGTAAGCACGCGACAGAGAAGACTCTAAGGCTACATTTGTTATGCAAGGAATGGATAACGAAGGCTGTGCTAAGTAAACTCTGTCGCGTCCTCTTGGGAACTGTCTCCTCGGCAGAGGCACTCGGAACATGGCCTTGTTTGGATGAGATAAAAGACGCTTTTGCCTAAGAGCCACTGTCTTCAGAACCAAAACAGTACGACTTATTTTCGTCAATCACGGTCAGAAGACCGATTCGGTTTCCTATCGTGCTTAGGTTTAGGCAGCCTAACAACATCCGATCACGTGTACAAGCATGAAATTCACAACAAGGGCTAATGTCATGCTACTTCGACCGTCACATGATACTATCAGTAGGGAGGTCGACGGCCACGCCATACACAGCGTGGCGGGTACATGGAAAATTTACGGATAACGCCACCTTACTTATTCTTCGTTTCCATCATCCAGTCTTATTCCCACCAGTCTTTATACAGGTTTAGAGCACTAAGAATTGCAGTTTGGTTCAGCCTTGGTGATATCTTCGAAACATCTGGACTGAGTCAGCTTTCGAAAGCTGTAATCTGACTCTGCTATATTCATTATTCGTATTGTTAGGCAACCAACAGGAAAGGTGGTTCTTACTCATTCTCGGGATTACCTGACGCATACGTCAGAGGTAACAATAAAGAGCGCGAGTGTTGTACCTAATAGGATTGCTCGCTTCTCTCTTCTTGCCTCTTGGTCGCTCATCTCTGACACAGCAGCTGTCGCTATCTATGCTCTGGACGTCGTTTTACTAAGTCACAAAGAGAGGTTACCGCTTGACGGTAACCTCTCCAGCTGTTTTGGAAATGCCTGTGCGAAGAGGCTGAGAGAGGCATATTATTCCCCGTTTGTTTCATCTGCGAGTGCCCCACCAGAGTGCGGCTCTGGCCTTGCCAAAAACCATCTCGGTAATGCTCTAGAAATTCTTTTACTACGGACTAAGGGTTCAAATATCATCAGGGTCTCTTGTGACCTGAAAGCGCATGTGGAAGGGCTTAACGTTGATGAGAGTCAATTGATCGGTTGCCAGGACTGCACATGAATGAAGGGCGTCTGATGTAGAAATGTGCACTGATTAGGCTCCGTTCCTGTGTACTACCACTTTTCAAAACATTAGAAAGCATTTGGCTACACTATGACCACCGTCCCAGATCCAGCTACTCCACACCACCATTAGTTACTTGTGGCGAGGATTGGACGCTACCTGGTTATCCTCCTGGACTATAAGTGCGGACTTCTGACAACTTTATTTCCTGCCACACTTCACAATTCTGTCCGCGTCTACCCAAAATGTACACGCTTATCAGAGCCACTGAGAAGCCCATGGTTCCCAAAATCAGTCGCATATATCAGAGTAATCTTTTTCAAAGCTTGACGTTTATTTTTCATTCTGCATGTCGACCGTCCGTACATGATTCTGTGACGCAGCCTAATCAACAGACTCCGAAGTAAACCCTCTACAACTGCTACCACAACCAGCCTCCTTGCATCAGCCAACGAACTGTAAAAATTGGAGTACAGGCGTTTTGGTTGTAGTGCTGTGAAATGTGAGGGCGCAGCAGCGAGCGAGCAGCGCAAGTGGGTGCCCATGTCTTGGTTCTGTAAGTGTGGATGACCTCTCATGATGGGCCCCTGTGTTTCCAACCCTGCCTGCTGAAAGACGCTACAAGGGGTTGCTGCTAATGGATATCAGTGCTACTCTTGTTGTCAGTTTCTATTCGGATTGTCCGACTGGGTGGTTTTGGCATTTGGGAATGATTTTGGTAGGATAGCACAATGAGGCTTTCGAATCAATGGCTGTAAGGCAGCGGAGCATCGGTGTTGAGCTTCAGTGATGTGCTGCCAATGATGATGATGATGATGATACTGATGATGATGATGATGATGATGATGATGATCATAATGATGATAGACGAAAGTCTGACAGACTGTATGCTAGCCACTCAATCAGTCATTACGAATTTTTATATCATAATTTCATGTCCATCGTCGAATTTTTCAGTATCGGGTTCCTGTAACTGACTACTTAGAACCGTTGGTATCAACGCACCATCATATTATCTAAAACGAGAGTTAGGCGTTCAAAAGCCTATGTCAGCGCGTAGTATCTATACACGCACTTTTCGAATACCACACTCAGTGATGGAACTTTCAACAGATGCTAGGAAAAACCTCTCTGGAACAACCTCTATCATGATGTACGTTGTGGTCGTTGGGCTTTGTTTTACGGTTATCTTACAGGGCTTAGAACTGATTATTTCCTTGAGTTATCGTCCACATATTTTCTCCTCCCATATGATATAGGCGCAGTCCCCGCCGGAATTTTCAATGAGTGCAAAAATTCCTGTCGAAAATTGATTTTTCTTCCACCAAACTTCCGCCACTATGCACACGTCTAAGGAATGAAATGCACCGTGCCAATAAAGCGCGTTTTATCATGTGCCCTTTTTTTTCACAAGAAACACGTTTACTTACTGAACTATGATTACAATAATTTTCATTGAAGTCGATGGAATCTGCATCGCCTCCAAGGCCATGTAACTTACCGAGTTAGCAAATGACATGTCTTCGCAGATCTGTATTCGAAAGTTGGAATGTCACTGACAAATGGCCGCTCCCGTTGGATCACCGTGGTCCAAGAGCGTAATCTACGCACACTGGGGCTCGCGCGTATTCTAGTTCAAGATCGATAACTACGGCCATAGCAGCATTTGAAATCTCCTCAAGGCCGATCGATCGGAGTCTGCTGGCACGTACAAGGAAGCACGTGACAAGACAAGGAAACATGTTTCACCTTAGAATCAAGCCCAGAATTGAAGGTTGCATCTGAGCCATTGCCAACACTGTAGCTATTACAAAATGTAGAAATCAAAGTGGAAACTACGAGTTACACTTGCAATGATACCCGAAATATCAAACTCCTCAGTGACTGGAAGAGACAATTTCATCCTCTGAATTTACCGCGGTTTATTGCTATTAAATTTGGCGGAACGATACAAATTGGAGTTCGTCTACTTGTGCACTACACCAATACTCCGCTGAATGAGAAGAACGATGTGTCTTACACAATTATAAGTTATATATAGTTAATACATGTATATGAGTGTGCATACATATATGAGCTGGAAATGTATCAATTCAGAGATCAGCTAATGCGATCAGTGTGTAGCTACCGATTCCTCAATTTCCGATTCATCGGTGAACGAAACTGTGGGAGCTGTAACCACCAGAGTTGGTCAAACAATGACTTGGCGGCGAACTATAAAAGCCATTACCAGCAAACTCAGCTGAGCCGGTCATTCCCGTATTCCTGGATGGGGACCACGAGACCAGCCATTTCACTGGTTAGAGACATCGTCAGACGTGGCCCAGTCGCATCCTAAATGGCACTCAGGCATCCAAGCTATTGCCTTCAATGCATAGCTCCCTTCCCAGTTCCCTCATTTTACAGTCCACTGACAGTGTTGTATTTACGCACGAATTTATCAGCCCCCGCCCCCAATGCGCAGGTACCCACTTCACCTCCCCAAATCATCGGTGAACGAAACTGTGGCACTGTACGACAAGCACACGGTTATTACAGCTGACAATGATGATGATCAGCAATATCTTCATCGTCATCTTTATGGTCCTCATCCTCTTCCTTATCATCACCATCGCCATCATCGCAGTCATCATCAACAACAACAAATACAACACCCATGCGGTCACCATCTGCATCAGTCACCGGCATCATCATCATCATCATCATCCATAAATTAAAATTCTTTTGAACTGGTGCTTTACTAACTAAAACAAAAATTATATAAGAGCTTTACTGTAACAAGAAGAACGGAATGGATGAGTGGCGTTACCTGACGCTAACCTACCATTAGCAGTCTGAGGTATCGAATCCGCCGAACGGGTTCACCTGCATGTCAGCCGGATTATGCCAAAGTAAATATGGTGTGGGTTCCCCGTTGTTTTTGTCTAGCGAAGTGTACACTTTGGTGTATCATACAGTAGAGGGCAGAAATGTTATGCACCAATTCCTCCCCACCCTCCAAGCAAGCGCTATTTATTTATGTTCTATGTGCCACACTACGTTCTGCGTATGCCAGTCGACCGACTTCCTCGAAGGGCCTTCTCGCCCCAACCATGTGAAGGGTGGAAGAGAGCCAGAGGCGATCAAACAATGACTTGGCAGCGAAGTGTGAAAGCCATTACCAGCAAACTCAGCTGCGCTGGTCACTGCCGTCTTCCTGGATGGGGACCGCGAGACGGGCTACATCAATGGCTAGAGACATTATCAGACATGGCCCAGTCGCGCCCTCAATGGCGCTCGTGCATCAAACCTATTGCCTTCAATGCATAGCTCCCTTTCCAATCCCCCCACTTGACAGCCCACTGACAGTGCTGGATTTATGCACCAATTTATTAGTTCCCGCCTGCAATGAGCAGCTACCCATCTGACCTCCCCAAATCATCGGTGAACGAAACTGCGGCAGCTACAACCACTGTACGACGAGTACGCGGTTCTTACAGCTGACAATGATGATGATGATGATGACGTGTATATATTGTGATGTGCGCATACCAGTATATTGGCGATCAAGGACATATAATAATTTTGCTTGTATCGCTCGAAAAGCGCATTTAGGTTCTTGAGAGAAAGTAAATGGCCGTTTTCCTATTTCATGTATTTAAATCGCTGTTCAATTTCTCGTCTCGTCGCATTTCGGGCTATTCGGGCCCAAACCTGCTTTCTATGGACGTAATTGGTAAACTGGTAAAATAAGATATTTTGAGGTGTACAGAACACAGTAATGGTGTGAGCCGGTTCTGTGTGTGTACAGTGTTGTCTTTCAGGCAGGTGGGATACTGGGAGGCTACATGAGAGGGGCGACTGTGTGACGTAGAACAAGAGGATGCTGTTGAGGTGTGGTACTTACCATTTCGGGTCTTTGTGACCAACCAACCTGGCTGTTTGCTATGATAGCCATTGTTGCACTACCGTGCACTACCCTTCACATGATTATCCGTTTCATGCAATGGGTCTATGTCGTTGATCTAAGTGCTCGTTTTCAATGGTCAAAACAGACTGCCTATTTCCGAACTTGAAAAAAAACCTCAGATCACATCCTCTATTTTCTGGATTAAAGGATTGTGTAGCGACTTACCTTTGAAAAATGTAGACTGGTTTAATGGGTTTATATCAACCCCCGCTGCCTTGCTGGTGGGCCTTCCAGCCAAAAGCCTTAGCTGAGGGTCGTAATAGTCTTCTTATCCAGAAATGAGCGACATAGCAGTGTTCCCCATGCCATGTAAAACCGGGAGTCGCCAAATTACAAATGACTTCATGTCGCATCGGACGTCGCTTGGTGTCATCACCCAACTGACTACATACAACGGGTGGCTGAGCGAAAACAGACTACTGGTGACTCAGTCTTTCTTCCCTCTTTCTTGCTCCCCTACCTACTTCACTTTTAGCGAAAGCTTTATAGGCCGGTTCTTAGGAACCGACAGGTCAGTCCTCCGCCCATTCTCATCATCAGCACTATCTACGATCAACTTAACCAATACGGTGGAAAACTGTTTGAAACCATTCTTCAACTTTCGACACTCAGTCCATCTTTATTCGCACTCTGACACAAGCCAGACAACGGACTGCTGTTTCAGGTACGCTGAAGTCGCTTCCTATTGATAGCGCTGTCCTTCTGAAACGAGTGTTCAAGACCGAAGTACGACTGCTGAACTACCCTCCCCATCGGTCTCTTCTTCTCTTAATTCCGGTCACGCAACTATATTGATCCAGAAGTTGCTGTAGCTGGTTCTGAATGGTTGGTAGTATAGTTTTAAGACACTGTCCTGGAGTGATAGCCCGTTTATAGTCGCCTGTGTGCTGATCCCTTGACAAAGTCTCCAAGAAACTCAAACTGACTCTCCAGTAATAGCTGCTTACGCCCCAACATAATGTAGCTCCGATACTCTCATGGGTAGTTTGCACGACGCTGTGAAGTTTATTACGGTGGGCATAGAGCTGAGATTTTGTTACGGTTGTCTCAACGACGAAGACGCAATTAGGCAAATTTGGGGCTTCTGAGGCTCAAGCGGGTAGTGCTGGATTGGAATCGAGAAGCACAAGGACGAAGCCGTTGACCACAGACAGAATGCTCGGCAAGCCGTTTGTGGAACGGCGAAGCTAATTGGAGCTGAGCACTGCATCTCATGCAACACTATGAAATCAGCGTTCGTAATAGCCCGTTTATAGTCGCCTGTGTGCTGATCCCTTGACAAAGTCTCCAAGAAACTCAAACTGACTCTCCAGTAATAGCTGCTTACGCCCCAACATAATGTAGCTCCGATACTCTCATGGGTAGTTTGCACGACGCTGTGAAGTTTATTACGGTGGGCATAGAGCTGAGATTTTGTTACGGTTGTCTCAACGACGAAGACGCAATTAGGCAAATTTGGGGCTTCTGAGGCTCAAGCGGGTAGTGCTGGATTGGAATTGAGAAGCACAAGGACGAAGCCGTTGACCACAGACAGAATGCTCGGCAAGCCGTTTGTGGAACGGCGAAGCTAATTGGAGCTGAGCACTGCATCTCATGCAACACTATGAAATTGCTCAGCGTTCGGACAAGAGTAGAATACCAGTTGACGAACTGTCAGGCTTAAGGTGCAAAAGAGCACCCGTGTGGGCTGAGAAGCTTCGTGGGAGAAACCTTGGGTATCTGAAGAATTCGGTAAGGCGAAAGAACTCTGGGAATTTACGCAGACTCAGCTGATCTGCTCATCAGGCCCAAAGGCAGATCACTGATGACGGCAACTTGTCTGTCTTCAAGAGAGAAGAGCACCTTTCTTGTTGGATTGAGCACCTTCAAGAAAAAATTCAACTAGATAACCGCAGTTGCACGGCCAGACATCCAAACGGCAACTCAACCATTGCCAGTGAACTTGGAATCCCCACGGATGTGCAAATAAGCGAGTCAAAGAGTTTCTGGCCCCGACGACCTCATACTAAGGGTATTCAACTTTATGTGTATAATCCTAATTCGGTGCTTTCCTAGCTTATCCATCTCTATCTGGGAGAAAAAGGCCATTCGAGCTAGCTGGACTCAGTCAATGGTGATGACCATCTTTAAATGGAACGCCCACAGTTAGGATGGCAGTCACAGAGGAATTATCTTGACCCCCCTGTTGTAGCCAGACTCTTTGAATCACTGATTCTACATCATCTTGCGAATGCACGTGAAGATGGGACTTGAGAATAGGAGGCAGGATTCCAGAAGAGAAGGGGCTATGCGGACCACATCTTCACACTCCGTCAGTTTTTAGAGCAGCGAGATGCGTACAAATGCTCTGTAATCTTGGTTTTTGTTGATTTGGAAGTGCTTTGGATTCTGTTGACCGATTAGGTTTGTTCAGCACGTTTGCCTAACAGAGTATCCCCCCGGGAATTCGTGAATACCGTACTCCGTTGGTATTAACATACCTGAGAGCTCGCGCAAGTGTATGGCGGGACCACCAAAAGCTTTCCTACTAGTACTGGGGTCCCACAAGGATGTCTACCCTCTCCATTAGTGTTTCATTTCATCACGGGTAATGAGGCGAACACTAGAAGGCCTCGAAAATATTGTTTTACAGATCCATCCGAGCGAGAACCTTGTTGACCTGGAATATGGGGGCAACTATACTCTGAAAGGAGCA